TCTGTGACGCCTCCCGTGAAATCCTCCATGGCTTCCGTGGTGTTCCCGCCTTTCAGGGCCTCGTAAGAGCCGTGAAGCCTGGACAGAGCAACAGGCGACAGAGATCCTTCGGTCATGCTTTCTCCTTTCAATTTAAATCTGTCTATTTAAAAAGGGGGCAACGTACATTGATCAATTAATGAGGCGAATAAAGCGAGTTGCCTTTTTGGCGATTGACTTGGTGCTACACATGTAGGATTAGGTATCACGTTCTTCCTGAACACCCTTCTAATAAGCCCTTTTCGCAGTGAGGTCAGATGCCGTACGGACATAAAGGTCATCGTCTCCTTCAGTCACAAATTCTTACAGCTTCACCTTGCTAACAACATCTCCTCAGTGCGACCCAGACTGAGTAGAAAAACTGGACCAAATAACTTAATTTTGTGTCACGAAACATCTAGAAATCAGAATTTTTTTTTTCGGTTTGTAGGGTTGTTGCTTGCTCCCCAACTTTAGTTCCCATCAGAGACAAGGTTTCAGATCCTTCCCCTGTAGAGGTGATCTTTGATCGTTCTAATGCTTATTCAGACTTTGGGCTCATTACTGAACATCCAGGCAAGTATGTGAACTCCAAACCAGAATTGTGTCACTAGGGCTTGACAAATTGCTCATTTCACATTGAGTACCCCAATGGGAGCAGCTCACGGCATCGTGTTGGGCCACTGCCTTTCTAGCTTTCGTCTGGTATGTACATTGCATTTCCAAATAGTTTTACGTTTCTAGGGCTGTTGCAAATAATTTTAAGTCTTATTCAATGACAGCCACAGTTCCTATTGGCTTACAAACTAACACCCCTAACTCCCGGAGGTACTAGCAACCCTATTACGCCTGAAGCCTGGTTTGAGAAGAGTAAGATCTGACAAAAGCTGCACACACCACAAAGATCCCCTCTTAGGTTTTCAAAAAAGAAAAAAAACATTCCAAATGTCTGTCTTGAGCAATTTAGCCATTAGCACCATTTGGTAAGCCAGCGTTTAGCCTTTTCTGTAAGACTTGTAAATCTGCCTGTAACTTCCTCTAACAATTAATGGTGAGACGCGATTAAAAAGATATTGATCAAGTCAATTAGAAGCTTTCACAGTCCCAACAATCCCATCTTTATCCATTGAACCTTTCCAGGTTTGTTCCAATACCTTTGACATAAGAAGCAACATACAAATATGTCCATAGAGTAAATTAATAAAGTTCATAATCTCACAGCTAATTACATCAGCATAGTTTCAATTAATTGATAAAGAAATTCCTGACACAGTGCAAGATAACTACTAGATATAACCACTTCATAAACAAAACACATCCAAACTTACATACGTAGAAACAAAAGAAACCAGTTAATGTAATGTAGACTATATGCAATGATTGAGACGTGATAAACGCAGTAGTGGAGCTGAAAGCACCCCGGAATGCCTCTGCTCTTTGACACTAAGGTGTTACGACTTACTTTGCGTAGGCCTTCTCCAGCAGGGCACTCCAGAACTCGTTTCTCTCGGCCGACTTAGTGAAGACCAGCTGGTTGTTGAAAGTCGGGACGCGGTCGTCAATGACGACATCGACCCAGTCACCGTAACGCCAGAACTGAATACATGAGACAGATGACAATGCCTTAGTGTGTGTGGTGGTCCCTTCGTTACCGGCTCTTCTTTTGTTTGTTGTTGGACTTTGTGATCACGGTGCCTTGTTGCTTCCCACGCATTTATATTTTGTTACATTACAAAAAACAAAGTTCATGACATTTCATTTGGATTTCATGTGACAGACCAAGAGAAGCAGCAGTGGCAGAAAAAAACTAAACAAAACACAATTTTCAAGCATCTAAAAAGTGTCAAAAGAGTCAAAAGCTGGTAGAACCATGTCTTGTTACGATTCCAGCTTTTAGCCTGGAATCATAACGTACCGGCTTTGCACATGTAACAACTTAAATTCTTGTCTATTTTTCTCAATGAAATAGAGCAAGATGAGTCAAAATAGATGGAGGACATCTACAAACATAAATTTCCACAACTTACAGCAGATTCTGACCTGAATTGAGATCTAGAGACTTTGACTGGACCACTGAACACACAGAACTGCTGAAAGCTGGTATGGTCACATTGTTTTCTTTTCTTACCACTCTTTTTAAATGTCGGCTCTGTGGCATTTCCAAGTGTTGAATTTTCTCTGACAAACTTTGACTAAAGAACAACTCGGCTTTGACTGAAATGGAATTATACACACTTATAAATAGACTTCTGAACGCAGGCTAAAGGCAAGACAAATATTTCGGATATTGGTCGTAGAAAAACAGTCTAAACAATGTATAATTGGCTTTCTTATTCACAATCATTGCTGCTGGTCTTTCATGGAAAACCCAGGAAAATGCAAGATATTTATGGCTCAAAAGTAACAATTAGTGGCTAGAAAAGTAGATGATCACACCTGGAAGTGAAAGATGCCGGCATAATTCTCAGAGAAGCTTTGCTCCTGGGGAACGACTCGGTAGAGGAGTTTCTCATTCAGGGTGAGACAAGCAATGGCGGCGAGCAACCAGCAATCACCTGAACAGAGAAAACAAACGTTGAACAATGCCCGAAGGTGAAGAGCGTTCCAACGTGAGCCACAACCTCTGTCTGTGACTAGATTTAGCCCAGAATATATTGATCATTTTTGTCCTGCAGGAGGGAAAGTTTTCTGCAAAGTGCTGATCGTTGTGTTTTTGTAACTGTCACACCAGAACAATGTGCTTTTTTTTTTTTTTCTTTTACAACGGGGAATGATAAACAGTGTCTGCCAAGACTTTTGTTCTCTTTGGTCCCCTTTATTTGTTGTGTGAACGGAGCAACAATGGGAAGTGCTGCCGGTTGGATTCCCTTGCAAAAGAGTAAGCACAAAACGGGGGAGGCTGCTGCAGACAGAGAGGCCGTATGTGGGGGATACCTGGGATATGAAATAACCTACAGGGTTTTATTTTTTTGGTGTGTTACTATTGAGAATACAGATTGTTGTTGGAAACTGTTGCAAAAATCGCCGCTCGTTTTTATATGATTTTGTTTCAGCCAAACAAATGTTAACCGTCAAAAAAAACCTATAGAGGCGAAGAGCAGCTGGTGTCGGATTGGCTTTAACTAATGCTTGTGAACAAGTCACATAATTGACATTTTCACATGGCTAGCATCAATCAAAGTTCACTCTGTCTTTGTTTCAGGAAAATTTTGAAATTATTTTAACATATAAAATAAAACTTCCACGTTATCTCCTTTAAGTCTTGCTCTCGCTCGCTATCTCCCAGCCTGAATTAAATGCAAACTTGTAGAAAAAAAGTTGATTTAGAAATAGCTTCTTATCATTTCTTTGCTTTCTATGCCATCTAAAAAGCTATAGGATGTTTAATTTTTCAGCCAGCGGGCCACCGTCAAATGTCAACAAGGCAAGAACAATAAAATCAGATTCCCGGCGTTTCAGTTCAACTCTAAAGAATTATAAATAAAGTCGTCTTTTGAAAATGCATGGAGAAGTACAGGACTTTAAGACTGAGCGGTGATCTGCTGACGTTCCATATGTGTTTTTAAAAATCTATCGAGACAGAGTTTACCAAGATCTCCCTGACAGATGTCTGTCCTACTCGCTCCTCCAACAATGAACTGAGGGTTTTCACTGATTTCCTGCGGAAACAAAACACAAAGGAAAGTTAACCTCAGGTTAAACATGGACTATAAAAAAAACATTCAAAAAACAGGTAGAAAGCCTCTTCCTGGACAGCTTCACTTGTTTCTTCTCAGGTTGGACAAAATCCCAACATCATCTCACAAATTCTTTTTCTTTGTGTATAAAAAAAATAAAAAATCAAGTCCTACCTCCCAAATGTGGTCCACCCCATCTTAATTCAACTGTGTGAGATTGCCCTTCCTCCTGCCAACCCGACCTACCTTAGGCCTCTTCCAGACGATGTTCTTGACCTTGTTGGACTTGTGTCCGAGCTCCTTGAAGCCCAGAGACTCCACTGTGGCGGGGAACGCTTCATCCTCAAACAGAGTCTTCCTCTGCAGGTAGTCCTGTCTCAGGGTGTTGTAGTCCTGTCCGTTGAACCGGATGGGCTTGTTCAGGGACCCTTCCCCGTCTCTCCTTTCTCGTTCCCGGATCAACCGGTCGCAGAAAAAGCCAGATGGCGTGTATGGCATCTCCACTCGGCAGACCTTCAAATTTTTTTGTGAGGGGGTAGGAAAAAAAAACGGCCCTGGTCACCTGTACGAAAGTCTTACAAGCCAAAAAAACCCTGGCATAAATCCAAACGGCTGTAATCCGATTGGTTGTTCCTCTGCGTGACGTCTCCCGCGCTGTCCCCTTCGTCACACATGGCGTGAAAGAAACGTTTCACCTTTGGGCGGCCATTCATCTGGACGCACAAGCGCCACAAGCTCACGGACCACATCGACTGTTTTGTGGCGTTCCCATTGGTCGACCCTCGCCCTGCCATCATTGTTGGGTGACACAAAGGCCAGAGGGCATGGAAAGAGCGTTTGGTGGATGCCCTGCCTCAGCAGAAGGCATTCAAGCCCTTTAAACCTCTTCTCAATGGAGCTCAGCGTTGAGCAGCCTCAGCACAACCAGAGCAGGCTGCCGCTGTGACAGGGAGCAACACCCGTGTTATATTCTCTTTACCGTTTCGTCTCTATACCAGATAACACATGTTGACGATAACGGAATATGTATTGACATTAAGGAGTCATTCATCAATATGAATATGTGGTTGGAGCTTATTGTCTGACATCTCAGTTTGTCAGAATAAGCACACGCTACCTCACAATTTTCTTTTAATTCTCTTGAACTGATTCCCTTTTTTGTATGGAAGACGTTGAAGGCCACTGAAAAAAAAAAACAAATTCTGACTTTTTGTCTCAGAAGATTAAAGTCAGAAATGTGAGGAAAAAAGTTGGAATTCTCACATTAAAGCCAAAATGATCAGAAAAAACATTTTAATTACCATCTTAAAGTTTTAATTCTTCTTCTTTTAATTCTTAAAATGGAAAGGACAAAGTGACATTGCAATACAAAAACCCCCCAACAATTTTCAACAGATGATGCCTTAAATTATGCTGCTTTCCTGCCATTATGTTAACAATTAATCTGGACTGATCTTACCTCTTTTTGTGACTCCTACAAGTATGTTTTTCTTTATCTTTTTATTAGAGTCATTCTAAAAATATCAGAAAATCTTGTTAGTAAATATTGTGATGTTCAATATTAGCTGCCTATTTTCTTCTTTGCTCTTTTTCATCACTTTGCAACTGATTCTCAATAAGCTCTATCAGGACTTTGACTGAACCATGATTCAAAACGACTTATCATTTACCTTCATTTTCACATTATGTGCTACTTTGTGTTCATATTTCACCACAAAACTCCCTTTACATGTTAGTCAAGTTTGACATTTTAAACAAGATAACATTCTAGTTAGGATGAGGATTTTTGCAGGAGAGAGTAGATTTAGCTTCTGAACTTCGAAAATAATATTTGATTAAATATAATCAGCAGTTTAAGGAAAAAAACTTTGATCTGAAAGTTCAAAGTTTCAGACTTTGAAACTTCAAATGATTACAGTAATGTTGATATTTGTCTGCAGCTCCATTAGCAACAAAACTGTTCATCAGTCCAAGCAGTCACATTCATTGAGTCAAATATTGCCCCATTCAACCTACCAAATTAGCAACCCTCGTATTCCTGACTATTCCCATTACGGGAATACCCAATCAGTGCCAAAGGAAAAGCAGTCAGGGATTTCTCCAGGATCAGTCGATCTGGATGTCCCAGTCCATCGTCGCTCTGACGTTCAGGTTGTTCAGTTTGAGCTTGCAGCAGGCTTCCAGGAACTCAAAGGAAGCAGAGACGACTTTAGCACCTGGTGAGAAAATCAGAATGAGGCTTGCTTACCTTTGAATTAAAGCAACTTTTAAGGCAAGCTTACAAAATTGACTTAACAATAGCTGTGTTTCCATTGACCATGTGATTGCGCTAACTGGAATTACGAAAATGTATTTGGTTAATGGAAATGCGGCAATTTCAAAAAAGTTCCCCCTTTTCACTAAACATTTTTTTGCGCTATAATGAGGAGGGTTTTTTTAAACTGTATTGAAATTAGTGTTTTTTGCAAAACTGGCAGGGAAGCATTTTTTTTTTAAATCACATGAGTCACGTGATTGACAACCAGATGTTACTACTGGTGGAAACCACAAAGAAGACGACAGGATGTGGTAGGAGGATCACTTATCGCGTGAACAAACTTATCCACATGTGAATTTCATTGCATTTCTTAATTGAAACACCACAATTGCTAAATATGTGTTTTTTTTTGTGGCATTTGTAATAAAAACTCAATTAACGGCAGGCATGGGAAGGATCAGAGCCCCCTCTGGTGGTGTAAGGCTACTGCAGATACACAAAGTAAGCAAGTTATTTATTTATTTTTACTTCAGCATGACTCCAGTTGGTCTGCCTGGGAGGCTTCCATCAAAAATATTTCACTCTTGATCACTGATTTAGAGCTGATCAATTTTGCAAGAATGTGACAAATAGAGTTTCAAAATTCAAATTTTTTTGAGTCTCAGAGAAAGACAAAATGTTTTTTGTCGAGTTTCTAGTGCAAATATTTTAGAACCCTTCCAAGATGAATAAGAAAAAACTAGTCAATATTTCATTAATATTGATTAAAAGTGATAAGTGAAATAATCTGCCCATGAAACAAGACATTTTAAGTTATAAAATGGAAAAAATGTCTTTTTCCAATGGCAGGTTATTTCACTTATATCCAGTACTTTTTCATGAGTTTTAAAGATTTATTTACTTAAAACAAGCTCCTATATCTTGCAGAAAAGTTACTTGTAAGTTAGTGAACTGAAGACAAAACTAAGATATTTGGACAAGAAACTAAACCAGAAATACTTGGTAAGATTCTGTGTTTTTGCTGTATGGCCTCCTCTGCTGGAGAAGAGTTGCACAGAAAGCAGCCGAAACAGCCATCATTAAATTTAACGACGTTCAAAACAAAAGAACCTTATTTTGTTTTGACATCGTTCTTTAATTGATCCCAGATCCCAGCTGGTTTTATCATGTATTAAGATCAGATGTGCTGTAAAATTAAAAGTTCTTCCCTCGAGACACTCAAATTTCTTTTGGTACGAGGTAAATGTGCTCATTTCGGGGACGTCCTCACCTGGGACGTGGACATTCACTGTGGTTGGCTTGCTCTTCACTCCCATGATGGAAACAGCCTGAACAATGGCGTCGCAGCCAAACCTCCCCTCTTTACTGGCCGAACTGGGAGAAGCAACCGCAACAGCAAACGTCAAACCAGTCCAAGACTTTTTACGTTTTCAGGAGCGTGACTCACCGACAGAGCAGACGGCCCGACGCCATGCTGAACCGCCGCAGGCAGAAGGCCTTATTGTCACGGTACTGGAAGGAGTGGCCGTCGTCGAGGTACAATTCTCCGTCTGCGCTGGCCTGAACATTTAGGAGCAATGCAGGTAGAAATGGTCCATGTTGAAACACAAGAATACTAACAAACGCTCTAAGATGCAGCTGAAAACACATCTTGTCTGTCTATGGAGGACGATTTTGAAATGTAACAAATGTGCTCTGACACCAAATCTTGTAAGTATTGATCACAAAATTTGGTTGTGTTCTGAAAAACACGCAGATCAGAAGAGCCTCATTGTAACTACATGTGCAAAAGCTAATTCAATTCAATTCAAATATACTTTATTGATCCCAAAAGGAAATTAAATGTGCATATTAGGTCAAAGATTTTAAAGAGTTGTTGTAGATGGTGTTGTATGCTACATGTAGTCATGAACACTAAATGTATTTCCATTTAGGTGCAGAAAATATCCGCAGTTTTAATTTGCGGATATTAAATTATGGGGTCTCTCAAAAATTAATTGCTTTTTCACCCCGATGTTTCTTAAAGTTTTTTTTTTTTTAATTCTGACATTCAAGAATTTTTGAGCAAGAACTTGTAGAGTTTCACTATCCATATTTTTTAGAGGTCTCTTGAGTCAAATACGTGAAAATGTACTAAAGTAAATTTGATATCATGAAGTAGAATAGAGTAGTATTAAAATTTTGTTGTACACTAAATACTAGTATTTACTGCATGTTTACTAATTTTTTGATGTTTTTGGGAAATAGTCATTTTAAATCTGTTTGGTCTGAGCTGCTACTGTTACATCAAGTTTGAGTTCCAGTTGCTACCTGGGAGTTTAGGGCCACAGTGACATCTAGAGGCAGCTTCTGGTAGTCGGCCGTACACGTGCCGCTTCCCGTTGACCTGCAGACCACCGAGCCGCCCCGCTGAAACACTGGAACCTGTCAAAAGTAAACCTATCCGTAAACACATTATTTGGAGCAAGATTTGATCTTTCGGGCCTTCTAGCACATTCTGCTCCCCAAATTCGACAACGGTGAGAAAACGGTGTGCGCCATGTAAACCACAGTAAACGCTTACTGTGTCCAGGTTGACAGGAAGACTCAAACTCTTTCCTCCTTTGTATGCCTTTGCAGAGCTGATGTCGTACCAAATCTACGACAGAAAGAAATCTTTAGTGTCCCATATTCATAAACGGTTTCAGTTATAAACAGCTTCACCTCGTCGGAGCCAGGAAGTAAGACTTTGACTGTTTGAGCGCCTTGTTCCGTCACAGGACAGGCGAGCAGGGCTCCCCCTAAGTGAGACAAAAACAACAAACTTCAGAAAAACAAATGTGTAGTATGTCAATATGGAGAAGTGAGTCAAAGAAGTGTTCATCACCAATCATGTACTGGTTGTCCTCGGTGAACGTGTTCTCCTCTTTTGGGAAATCCACCCAAAGAGGTCTGTTAGAGAATGAATGGTTTAAGTTTTTTGTGCAGACCGGATTACTTTTACCAAGATTAGATTTATTATTCGTGCCAAAGAGCCATAGTTGCACTCAGTTCAGATAAATAAGACATGTTTAGAGACAGAAATTTGACAAAAGACAAGTTGCCATTGCTGATAAATAGCTTTTTTTTCTTCTTTACTTTCTGGGGGGGTTGAATTAAGGGAAACACATAAAAATTGTAAAGAGAGAATGCATACTTAATATTTGTGCAAAAAGAAAAATATACAAAAGCACAAAGTTTTGAACTGAGTGACAAAAATACATTTAAAAAGTGGAGATTCAATACAGTTATTCCTTGAAAAAAAATAAATAAAATGCTAAATCCATCTTGTTTTATCATATTATTATATAATTTTTAGTCAAAGTTATAAAGAGCCATTGTGGAGGGTCCCTAGAGTCACTACTGGCTCTTGAGCTGCAGGTTACAGAACGCAGACCCAACACAGCTCGTTTTTAGCTGTAGTTCTGTCGGTGACCAGCAGAGGGCAGCAGCACTAACCTGACTGGAGGCAGACCAGAGGTGTGAGCGAAGTGGAAGAGAGTATACCAGAATGGCAACAAGCAGTACCTGGAAGCACAGGAGTAACAATGCAGTTAATACACTTTCCACTAATTTTAGATTATATTTTGCCAAATCCTTTGAAGAATATTAAAAAATAACATTTAAGTAAAAAAAAAAAAATCCAAACAAGACTTGAAAATTGTGGCATTTTAAGCATGAATTTTTTTCTTTATTGTACATACCGTTGTTGGATGGCGGTGCGTATCGCCGTGGTGACCTCTTCCCCAAAAAGCCAAGGCTCCCGCCGCTTTGTGTCGTTTGCGGAGTGGCCGCGGAAGAATGGCAGCAGAGCTCCCGCCTGGTACCAGCGCACCAACAACTCTGGATCTGGATCTTTAACAAACCCACCGACATCAGCTGGAACCCACAAAAAACACAAATAACAAGAAACTTTAATCATTAGAGTGAAATTATTAAAATCTTCCTCCAATGGGAGATATTAAGTGTATTTATCAACTGACTTCTACTTAAACACTGATTTTAGAGAAGTCAAATCTACTGTTAATTCATTCATTGAACCTGGCTTAGTATAGCAAACATTTTTAAAGAAAAAGTGAGTCAATTATTGTTGTTATTGCTGAGAATAAGCAATAATATTTAGTTATTTTTATCCTGGACCAAAAGAATTATTTAACTCTAAGCCTTTATCATGCAAAAAACTGACTTCTTTATTTGTTTAATTAAATTTATTCTATGCTTTGTTTATTGCTGAGCAGCAAAGAAAACCTGTTTTATTTGTCTTGTGGTTTTAGTGCTTTTAAAAAATTATAGTTTTTCAATCTGGATAACATGAACAGGATTAGGAAGGTTTTAAAAGATCATTATTTAAAATTTATCGCGACATTGATAAATCAAAATTTTTATCACGCTAAGAAATGTATCACTATATATCATAAGCCATACGATAAATGCCCACCCCTAGAAGAAAAGTGATGAGGTTTCTTTGAAGTAACAGAGCGGCTGCAAAAATGAGCTCAGATTTGTCAAAAACTCTTGTTTTTGTTTTTTTCTTCTTACATCAACATTCACAATTTAAGCAGTATAACCCAGGCGGCTTACCTCCACAAAATGCAATGCCTGTCAGGTTCAGGGTCAAAACCATTGGCAGTGAAATCTTCAGATACTCCCAGGTGGCAACGTTGTCGCCCGTCCATATCGCGCCTGCATCCGACATGAAAGCAAAAAAAGTCTGCTTGGGGGGGCTCGCCCGATCACTTCAGACACAAACTCTAAAAAAGGGATCCAGTTTGAGTCCCTCACCCAGCCTCTGTGACCCAGCAAAGAAGGAGCGTGTGAGAACAAACGGCCTCTCCGAGCCTCCGGAGCGGGACATCAGACCGTCCGCCGTGGCCATGTGCTGCAAGAGCGCACAATGATACGATACAGCTTAAAAAGTAAATGCTAGTGAATGGGAATGTAGCTGAGGAGAGAAGAGAAGAGAAGAGCCTCGGACCTGGTAGAAACCGTACAGGTTGTGCAGCTCCCGATGCTCCCAGCCTCCGCGGTGCACCGCGTCCTTGGGCATCGTCTGTTCTGGCCCGTTGAAGACGGACGGCTCGTTCATGTCGTTCCACACAAACAGCGACGCCGTCGATCCCTTCATGACACGTACAGGATCACAATATGTGATCGAGTCAGTGAGCGTTATTGTTTTTGCTTCTTGGTTGTAATGCTTTGCCTATTGATAGCATTAAATCTTCTCCAATAATATTTTACATTTTCTGTCGGTGCGGTTCGCTTTCTCACTGCACTGTGTCAAACGATTCAAACCAATTCACCTCCTCGCCTGTGGTGCTGTTGCGCCAAGAACCACTGAACGAAAAGGCACAAAAACTTAAGAAAATCAGCGCAACTTCCCTCTTCACAAAATGTAAACGACAAAGGTGTAGCGACAGATTTTAGCGGTTGTAGGATTTTCATTTTTTTGTCTCCGGTGAAAGACCAGCCATTTCTCCCTGCAGTGCTAAACTTGCACATTTATTTTGACTCTTCTGACCCAGAATGCCCTGTGCTGTTGTCCACTTTCTGCTTTTGGAGCAGTGTCTGGTCCGCTTGCATTCGAACCGCGCCAGTGTTCACTTCAACCAAACCGAGACCAGGGTCTTTAGGCCAGACCAGAGTTCACTTGACCAGAGTTTGATTGCGTGTTCACACCTCCAAAAACAAACTAGACTTTCAAGACAAACAAACCAGAGTTTGATTAAAGCAGATTAAACATGGCTTGTGCGAAGTTTCTGAACCCATTTCTGTATGGATTAGCCCTGATATTTGAATCGACCTGCTGAGAAACCCAATCATGCATTTTGAATTAAAAATACATGTATTTTTTGGATTTTCTGGCGTGTATAGAACTCATAATGCTGTGGGGGATCAGCAATGCCAATAGTCATATTCAAAAAATCAGAATACATATTCAGGTGAGTTTTGTTTGTCAGATTACAAGTACCTTTAAAAAAAACAATCATTGAGCAGGTGTTAAACACACTGATCATTAAAGGGCCAGTCTTATGTATTTCTCCTTCTCGTAAGCCAAACTTTCTCTCTTGATCATCACCTTGTATTTATCAAAGCTGTAGCACCTGGAGTACCACGCTCGGGTTTCAGGACAACTGAAGTCAAGATACGACGACTCGCCTGTCAGAAAGTTAAAGACAATCTCCAGTTAGAAGAAAAAGCACAGAAAAATCCTTTCGTCAAAGTGTTCAGAGGTTGGTGCCGTTTTTGGTCAGGCATCACCTGGCCAGCATGTGCCCCGAAAGATCTGCCCCTCTCTGTCCTTAACAAAATGCCCTTCATCTCTGGCCTCACGGTAGAGCGGCCAATCAGGGTCGACCTTAATATGCGGATCACTTATCACCACCATCTGAAATTAAAACACACAAAAAGGGTTCAAAACAAAATGAAAATTCAGTAAATTGTGCGAATTTTGGCAAGCGACCTTCCGCTTCTTCTTCTCCAGATGTTGCTGCAGAGCCGCCGGTTTGGGAAACAGAGCAGGGTCCCAGGTGAAGTAGCGCTTCCCGTCCGTGTGCTCGATGTCCAGCCAGATGACGTCGTACGGGATCTTGTGGCGATCGAAGCCGGCGTCCACGGCCTTCACGTCGGCCTCGTCGTTGTAGTTCCAGCGGCACTGGTGGTAACCGAGGGAAAAGAGCGGCGGCATGGCTTGGTATCCTTAATGGCCAGATAACAAAAAGTGATTTTTCTTTACTTCTTTTTCTTAGAAACGGCAAATGTTCCAAGAAATTTGCAACCACTTGTGCACCTGTGAGCTGAGCGTACTGCTTGAAGAGCTGCCGGGGCGCGGGCCCGAGCAGAACCATGCAGTCAATCACCCCGCTCTCCGAGAGCCAGTGGACGTCGGTCTGGGGCGCCGGCCGCCGCCTCTTCACCGGAGGTGTTTTACCATCCTGCGAGATGGAGAGTTTGGCGCTGGAATCATTTTGTGCATGAAAAAGTTGCTGTGCATTGCAAAAAGTTTCATTAAACCATTCACCACCTTTTTGTTTTGGAGAAAATGTTCAACTTTTAACCAGATGGCATTCCCAAAGGTTGTTATGCTCAACTAAAATGAGCACAAAATTAAGTTACAGGTGGGTAGAGTCGCCAAAAAAAATGTACTTAAGAGTAGAGCTACTTCAACATACTTTTAAGTAAAATCTAGCCATCCACAAAATTGCTCAAGCAAGAGCAAAAACGTATTTGGTTCACAGGCTACTCAAGAAGAGTCTCTATCCAAAACTTCATTCAATATTTAAAAATTACATCATCAGATGGACCAAAACTTATGTGGAAATTTTAGAACTTTAAAGACAAGATGAAAGCAACTTGAAAAAAAAAACAACAAACAAACAAAAAAGAACGAACAAAATCAGGCAAAAAAACATTTTTTCATATAAAACACATGAAACTTTACCAGAAGTCTAAAATTTATTCTTCATCCAGTGAAGTTACTCTCAGTGGGTTGAGAATCCAGAAGTTTTACTCAAGTAAAAGTAGCAATAATTAATAATAAAATGACTCAAGTCAAACGTACATCATAGAGAAAAATGCTCCTCTGTTTTTATCTGTTTTTCCAAAAGGTTACTCAAGTAAATGTAACTCGTTACTACCAAACTCTGCATGTGGGGCAATGACATGACAAAATGTGTATGCCACTACAAAGCAGGGTTAAAATTGTAAATACTCTTGAACATGAAAGCTGTATAATATCGCTGTCCTCCTTGAAAAATAAGCAATTATAGAAAAAGTCATTCTCATCTCACTGAAAAAAGCTTACCCGAGGGTCGGAAGGGGAGTACTGGATGTTTATGAAGGTGTCCGACGCATTCAGCCAGAACACGCCAACGGTCCTGTCTGGTTTGTGAGCCACCATCAGCGGCACGGATCCGTACAAACCGAGCCGGCAGTACAAGTCGGCGGCGAACACGTCCAGGTTGTACAACCGATAAGGTTCGCCATCGCTGCGGTAGGAAAACATTGTTGACGTCACGGTTGAAGTGATGACACGGTTGAAGTGATGACACGGTTGAAGTGAACCCTGGTCACCTGGTGTCTCTGAGCTGCAGCCTGTCGGCGTGCTGCGGCAGACCGTAGACGTGCTGGAACCCGTGGAGGCAGAAGTCTGCGCCGAGGCTGCTGGGACCTGGAACAGAAAATAAAAAAAAATAAAAAAACAGTACATCAATAAATCAGCATTTATTGATGTACTGTTCAACATTCAGGATTTGTTGTCATAATAAAGGTAAAACCCCAGAAGCAAGCAGTTGGTTACCAAAGGGATACAAGCTCAAGAATCAGTCAATGACTTAAAGTTTTTCACATTTTTTTCAGTTTTAGTCGCCAACTTTTATTTACTTTGAGGGCATTTTATGTGACAGAGCAACACAAAGTAGAACGTAACTTTGAAGGAGAAGCAAAACCTTACATGGTCTTACTTTTTTAAAATAAAAATCCTCCTAAAGTTGGGAGTGCATTTGTGCTCCCTTTACTTCAGGTCAGCTGTGCTAGCTTGACTCTGACAACCTTAACATGTAGATGTGCTGTGGAATATCGGTTCAGTTAAAAACAAAAAACAACTTTCTGACAGATGATCAGTGGAGCAGGTGTTTAAATTAGCTAATTTGGTAGATTATTACAATAGTGATTAATTATTAATAATCACATTAATAACCTCAAAATAAACATCATGTGGCGTAGAGGACATCAACCTATAGCTGTACCTGCAACACAGTGCTTTGTTTTGGTCACTATATCAAAGTTTCTGATTGCTACGTGACAACCGTGAAAAGATTGAAGGGAACAAAAACGAAAGAATGAAATAAAACCGAAAGCTGGTGCAAACCGTTTGCTTTGATGTCCTCAGAGTTCCTGAAAGTCTCCTTCCACAGTGAATTCTCGTCCTCTTCCAGCTGAAACAGAAGCAGAAAGCGACCAAGAGGCCAAATGAAGTTTTCATAAAGAGCAGCCTAAATTTGCAGTTTGAGTTTTCGTATTTCCTCACCTTACTACATAGTGATGATGCCAGAGAAAAAAAATTACAAAAAATAAAAAGACATTTTAAGTAATTATAGGAGCACCATCTTTGTCAGAATGAAAAGATTGTCTTACAACTTCACCTGGGTTTATTCTGCAAGCTTTCAAACCACAGTTTGTCCTTGGAGTTGAAGGTGACGATCACTTCCTGATCACACAAAACCTCCAGCCGGAAAGGAAAGTGCCACATTCGGACCCGGTATCGTCCCGAAGACCAGGAGAGGGTGGCGGAGTCCTTCGTCTTGCTCTCCACTCTCAACCTGCAAATAAGACAACGGTGAGTTTCCACTGATGCACATGCGCAGGAATGCTGAACATAATCGGAGCAAGGAGATATTGGAAGTTCAGTAGCTCCTACTGTTCACCAGGAGGTTCCCCAGTCAACACATCTGGAACTCTGTAACGGGGTTTAATGGGCCAGATCTCATCGATTACAATCCTTACGGTGTCGTTTTTGCAAGGTGTCAAAGAAAGAAGGAGTCTGGTCTGTGGATGAAAAAAATAGTTCATGAAGAAAATTGTTTATTTGGGTGGAAGGGTAAAGACCTTATGATAAAGACCAAAGAGGCAGAGAGAAATTATACTAAAGAGGTACAACTGTATAAATGTCATCAACATAAAATTATCTACATGACAACATGAAGAATGAGTGAAATTTTGAGAATTTCCACCAAGAAATTTATAGAATTTCTTTCCAGGATTTTCTTCATTCTTGAATTTCTTTCACAAAAAGACAGAAATTCAAGACAAGATGAGAAACAGACGAGAGTCGGTGACAACCTGCTTTGAGAAATTCAAATGTCTTCGGCATGGAGAGTAATTTTGTGCTCTCTGTCTGTTCGGCCTTAATGCCTGATGTGAAACGATGCAAACGAATAACATCTCAACATCTTTTCACGCTACCGTAGAAATTTTAAACTTTAATAAAGTTGACCCTCAGTATTTTTGCCGAGCTTGGGGTTATTTTAAAAGCAACCTTTAGTCTCATTTAGGAAGTGCCATCAATTTTTATGAGGCACAAAAATAACTTCCTTATCAGACAAACATTGGCTTCCCTCAGCCAGAGGATTATGTTTTCTAAAGAACGATTGAACATAAACAGCACAGGACATGAACAACATTGCAAATATCTTGGTGCAATTGTGGACAACCACTTGACCTTTGACCTGTGCTGGGGCTCGTCGGCGTTTGTATTTTTAATGGAAAACGTAAAAGTTTTAACGTTGACACCCTTTTTAGGGTTTATCACTGGACTAATCCTGGCTCTGTTTTGTAAATCGAGTACATTGTTCCCAAAATAAAGCCTATTTAATGTGGAAAAAACATGGATATTTTTCTCCTGCTGAGTTTCAGTAAACCAACCTTTGTGCGGTCTTCCAAAAGCTCAAAACGTGCGCCCTTCTCCGTGAGGACAAGGGAATCCAAAAGAAGTCGGTATTTCGGGTTCGGACCCTGGATCTGTCGCCTCAAAAGTAGACGGATATTTAATAGTGCATGGATCTTTCTCAATCGAAAAAAAAATAACTTAAAAATGTTCTATGACGTTACAATGTCATTTAACATACCTGTAAAAAGCAACATTCTCACTCTTTTTGAATTTCTCCTTCCCCTCATCATTCGGGACAACACTGAAACCCAGTTATATAGATATATATAAAGATTGCACTCATTACTCAGCTATTTTTTTAAAAATTGGTGAATAAAAAAGTAAATAAACCTGCAATCTAGTGAATTAGTAGATCCATATACTTTTCAGCTGATAGGAAGCATTAAATGTGCAAGTCTAAACTCTTTCCATTCAGTTTTATTCATCAAAATACACCAAAGGTCAAGTTGCAGGACAGACACAACACAAAGCAACATGCAAATACCTAATAACAGCTTCGCTCTTTGCCGCCATTTCAAGCAAACTCGGACAGAAACAGCGGCTGTTCACTGTCGTCCTTTCTCCTTCAGTGAAACTCAGTGACTGTTTTTTTTATGAGTTAAGGTGTTCCCATTGACAGCTGAAGGCAGAGCGTGCAGAGGAAGGAAGTGAGTGCGTCAAATCCGCAACGAAAGTCAAGCGTTCGTGAGGAATTTCAAAATAAAACGATAACCTACGTCGTATCAGTGGATGCGTGGCGACTCCGCCATATTGTGAGTGGAAAGCTTGGAAGTAAAAACACATAATAATAATAATAATAATAATAATAATAATAATAATAATAATAATAATAATAATAATAATAACACCAGGATTTTTTATTTAGTAAGAAAAATAAATATATTTAATACAAATATTAGTACATAAAATAACATCGTCTATTAAATTTCATTAACTCTTAAGTTCTTCTATTTTGTGAAGAAAAAAATTATTCGAGGGTTGCGTGTTTCAATTTTTTTTTCCCGTTTTTAAACACATAATTATATGTGAACTGAAATACGTTCTTAAGAGAATAATAATTTCGTACTTGTTTCAAAAATTATTTTACTTTGAATATCTCGTGTTTGTTATTATTCAAATCAAACAAGTGCGCTTCAAAACGGAAGGTACAGATGAACGAAACCCAGCGTCGAATTGTTTCGTGACCTCTGTCTCCCTCTTGTGGCGGTTCCGTAAGTGACAGGCAAAAATCGTCCAGCCGGACCTGAAGGCTGACGCGAGTCCGTCTCACCTGCTGTGCATTTCTGCAAGATGCTCGATGTCCAGTTCCGTCGCTTGTGTTTGGCGGTCTTGGCGGTCGGCTTTCACCTCGGCGGGGCGGCGGAGGTCTCAGTATGGAGCGTGAACATCAACTCGGTCAGTGTTTCACCTTCGGCGCGAGCGTTTCTACGGTGACAGCCCAGGCTCGTGCTAAATGTTCAGCAGCTGGTAGCTAAGGCAGCTAACTAGCCACTAGCAAAGCGCTCCTCCGGTCCAGCTGCTGTCAGCAGGGCTAATGATGGCTGCTGATGTTCTTGTCATTTTTTTTAAAACACCCTGCATTTTCCTTCGATAGGATCCGAAATGTCTGTAGCAAACTGAAGGCAGGCTTTCGCCTGGCAGCTTTTAATGAAAATGTTTTTAAAAGATGTAATAATAACTGCTGTTAAGATATTCCTAAATTCAGGGATGCTAAACGTTGTGCTATAGGCGAAATAAATAGATGTAGAGATAAACTTGAGCTCCAAGATTTAATTGCATGTCTGTCCTTCAGTTCATTCATCTTTTCTCATTCACCAAGAAATCGATCCAGTTATCCATAATGTCAGGGATGGACTACATGGAATAAATTGATATTTTGTTGTATTTATGTAAATAATAATAATAAAAGTCACGAAGGAGAATTTCAGAACCATCAAATCTACTTCATCTCAACTCCAGTTACATTAAATGTGGCAGCTGCAGCTCTTAAAAAACATACAGTAACCGTATTAATTAGTAGTTTCAAATATTTTTTTCATATTTGTTGCGCTGTCATGGAAACAACAGTGGAAAAAGTAGCTCCAACAGCAACAATCCCAACCCTTGTGTCAGTTTTGGGCATTTGCAAATATTACATGTAATTGAGCGTTATCACTGAAAAATATTTTTATGAAGATAATCTATTTTCACTTCCTTTGATAAACAAAGGAAGGAAAGGCTTATTTCCTTCCTTCCTTCCTTCCATCCATCCTTGCACCAGTCCATGCACCATTTCTTCCTTAATCAATTTCATCCTCCTTCTCTCCTTTCTTTCCTTTGTTCCTTTCATCCTTCCTCACATCTTTCTTTCTTGTTTTTCTTTCTTGATTTCTGTCTTTATTTCTTCTTTCTTTCCTTCGATCCAAAAATGAACAGTATGCGTTAATAAACACCTGGAAAGTTGTGTCTGTATATTTGCAAATTATCCTCTGTAGAAAAACCTTGAATTTCACAATTGACATTAGAAAACGATGCATTTATGGTGGAATCCATAATCGGCAAAAGCAGACACTGCCGTGCGGCTGAGCGCCGGACTGCCTCTTGTTTCCTCATAGAGGTCCAAGGACCAGAAAAGACGAGTTGCTGCGTCAGATAAAGTCTCATCAATTGCTGTCTGCGTTGTGCTTTCAGACACAGGACGCTGTGTTTCGGAAGACTCTGTACGCCAACACCACCATCTTTATGAGGTGTAAGTACTCGCATCACAACATGTGTTTCTCCATAGGCTCGACTTTTCTCTGTCCACTTTTCTTTGCGCCTGGGCATTTTTCCACTAAATAAAACAGTGCGCTCAGGGTCATTGTCTGAACTCACCCCACCCTGCATCCCTCTTGATAACATAATGAGTGAAAGTTGTTTAAAACTGTGAGCTTTTGCTCCCGATTGTGTCTGATAATCCTGTTTACTCTCCTCTGTGCAGTTCTGAATGACGTGGGGTCATGCGAAAAATATCTGGCCTTTAACATCAGCTGGTACCTGCGCTCGTCCGTTTGCTATAATGAGGTCTTCAACACACCAGTGAGCTGTGCTTCTGTTTGTTGGTGTTTGGTCTTTCTACTCAGCGTAGCTGCTGGACTTCATAGCCGTCACTCCTCCCACCAAACCCAGGAACTGTTTTGTCGTCATTTGCAGCTTTTCTTAGTTCAAATAGCATTTATTAGCAATGCTAATAATTCCATGTCAGCCCGAATCGTTACATTGGTGCATCGCTAATCCAAAATAAAACACGACAACCAAACACAATAAATTAAGCTGACATAAGAACCACACAACTAAGACCGTAAATGAAATGGATTATGATGCGCAAACAAAATTTCCCTTCAAAAAATATTGAACATCAGAATGGAAACTATCGAGCTCATTTCAATTGGTCATGCGGTTAATAGGCAAATGTGCAAATATATGCTATCAAAGTATATTTTCTGAAAGTGTCAGCCTGTGTAGTAAATCATAACTGCAGAAGAAATCCAGTTCTGTTTTCGTTTTTGTTTTTTGAAGGACAACAAAGCGATGAACATGTTCGGCATGGACCACATGCTGAAAGACGGCTGGAGCGGCTTCTACAGTCAGGGCTACATGTACTTCGAGAACTGCTCCTACCTCTTCACCCCGAAGGTAAAAGATGACAAAACGTGTTCACTTCCAGTAACACCGACAGGACCTGAACACGTTTGAAAAAGCAAAGTTTCTTTTGCAGGTGTATTTCCCAGACTTCAACCCTTATCAGCCACTGTCCAGTCCAAAGGTGGGTCATCGACCACACCGTCTGAAATGTCTGTCCTCGTTTAACACGGTTTCATTGGTATGCTTTGTTTACTGTAACTTTGTCTTTCAGAGTGATCCATCAAATCAGACCTTTACTTGGCCTGACAAACCGGTGAGGAATGCTTTTATTACATTTAACTAAAATGCACAAAGTAACTGCGTTTTACCCTATTTTCAAATTTACTGATACTTATTGATACTTTTCTGGAATAAATAGTTGAGGAAATAAAAATAAAGTCCTTTTTTTCTTTTTTAACGTCACCAGTTGAAATTTATTGAGACAACAATAAATCACAATTCTTATCATAATAATACATTTTTCAAAATATGTGATAAATGACAAACGATACGATAAATGCCCAACCATGCAAAACCAAAATTAGGTAGTTGAAAACTTGGGGATGCACAATATATTGGCACCGATATCTGCATTGGTCGATGTTAGTCACTTTTTTATCTTATCTTTATTGTTATGATAAATAGGACTGGAAATAAACTGATGTCTATTTCCATTTTGTTGCTGTTTGTGTTTCAGTAATGGGACAATGATAGTGACACAGCACAGGATTATGGGAAGCGATGTAGGTGGTGTTGTCACCTTAAAATGGTGCAGAACGTGTAGGGAAATGTATATATCAGTAAATATAAAAATACTATATTGGAATGCTTATACCGATATAGTAGCAGCACAATATCGGATATTGATATCGGCAAAATGGTGCATCTGTTAATGAGGTGAACTTTTTTTTATTTTTAATTTTTTCAAATTAAAATCTGGCTCTGGATCGGCGCCTTGTGTTTCAAAATTCTCAAATCTGGATATGACTGGAAAGTTCTTGGCTCATTTTCACTGAAGAGGCAAAGTGATGTTTTCCAGGAAATCGGCGCGGTGGCCAAAGCGTGGGTGGACGGGCCCTACCTGTTCATAGTGAAGGTGCAGCCGGTGGTCCGCGGCTTGGAGATTGAAGACATCTTAGCAGAGCAGCTCAACTTTGCTTTCACAAGTGAGCGTCAAACTATTTGTTTAGAAAGTTCAGCTTCTGAATATCACCAGTGACAGATTCCCTTTTAACTCCTCAGTGAAAGTGGAGATGAAAGGACCACATGACTACTCGTCCCCAGCAGACTGGCCTCTGATGATCGTACGCATCTTTATTTCCTGAATGATACGCTGACCTTTTTTTTCTTTATCAGAGCTGCACATCATTCGGTTGCTGTTTGAATCGCCTCAAAGTGAAGCTGCGTGCGTTTCTCTCCCAGTTCTTCATGGTGATGTGCATCGTGTACGTTCTGTTCGGGGCGCTCTGGCTCTTCTGGTGCGCCTGTTACTGGACGGATCTGCTGCGGATCCAGTTCTGGATCGGCGCCGTCATCATCCTCGGCATGCTGGAGAAAGCCGTCTTCTACTCCGAATACCAGAGCATCCGTTACAAAGGAGACTACGGTCGGACATGTTTGCTCGGGTCTGGCCGTATTTGTTTTTCCGTTTTTTCCGAGTCCATCTCGTTGCATTTTGGTTTCTGTTTTCACAGTCCTGGGAGCTGTGATTTTCGCCGAGCTGCTCTCTGCGCTCAAAAGATCCCTGGCTCGAATCCTGGTTCTCATAGTCAGTCTTGGTTACGGCATAGTCAGGTGCGTCAGCTGCTGCAAAAGATAAAAATCTAAGAGTCCGGCGCTTGAACTGCGGCTTAACTATCCCCATTTCTCCCCGCGGTGCAGACCACGGCTGGGTACCACGGTGCACCGACTGGTGGCCGTTGGACTCCTCTACCTCCTCTTCTCCTCTGTGGACGGAGTGCTCAGAGTGACAGGCGTAAGTAACAAACTTTCTATGTCAGACATTTTTAAACAAGCAGTTCTTCGTGACAGTATTCATATCCCTAGAACTTTACAACCACAGAGTGCGAAAAATAAAATGTATATATAAATTTTAGGTCTCCACCTCTAGGTGGCAGTGTAACCTGTTCAATATGACAAAACTGCAGTGAGGAAGTATAATGAGGATTTTTAAAGTAAACAACAGGACAGTCTGGATCATTTCTGACAGACATAATGTGGTCGTTTGGCCAATTTTGACATTTTTACATTTGTTTTCTTAAATTCTACATTTGTTTTCTTAAATTAAAACACAGTTCTGTAATCAGAACTGTGACGATAATAATAATAATAATGGAGAAACTGGGTTCCTGTCTAAGAAAGGAATTCAATTAATTGACTTTTCACAGTTCCTTTTAATTAAAGAAAATTAAAAGAATATTAATGATTAATCTTCATCTGAGGATGAAAGAAATGAATAGCAATATAAACGCAAACCCCCTTTAAAATTGTTATTTGTGAAACTTTCCTTCCAATTTTTATTTATGCACTACTTTGTCAAATAAAATCCATTTAAAATACATTAAGCGTTGTGGGTGGAGTGTTTGAAAATGTAAAAAATGATGACTGCACATGAATACTTTTGCTATGACTGACCTGTAAGCTAGCGTCTTCAGTATCTGTTCAGACAAGCGCTCCGTTGATCTGGTTGATCATCTTTACTGTCGTCTCGTTCCTCCAGGGTTTCTACGGGACCGTCGCCCTCGTGGCTAATCTCAGCCTCTCTCTCATCGACTCGTGTGTCATGTGGTGGATATCCTTTCTTATTTTTGTTTGTTTCACTGAAGTGAGCTTGCTCAAGTCCAAACAGGAACTCCCAGTGGTATTTCGTTCCCTGTATAAGTATTGTTTTTCCATGTATACTCAGAAGGTTCTCCTTAATCAGCATCTACATTTTCATCAGCTTGTCACAAACCACTCGCCTCCTGAAGCTCCGCAGAAATGTAGTCAAGCTGTCTTTGTATCAGCACTTTACCAACACGCTCATCTTCTTCGTTGTCGGTGAGTTGAAGCCGGGCTAGAACAAGGGAGCTAAACTCAAAAGCTAGCTTTGTACTCAAGTTCATAGAACACATCCATGAGTTAATCGCAAAACAATTCATCTTTGGTTTCTGTTTGTGTATCTGTATGAGTGGAATTGGTGCTCTTAAGCTGATAGTGTGACATTTTGTATTTATTTATTTTGTTTTATATTGTGAAAGACCCTCACAATCCAGTGGCTTAACGTATGACAATGACTGATCAGCAAAGATTCATCATCACAATAAAATCCCTCCCTTCCAAATCTAGGCCGTCTGTTTATGCCCACAACACAAATTATAATTAGCTTAATTAGATGATGATTATTATTTTCTTACTGTCAGTTATTCTTTTGAAAAGGTACGCCAAGCTTCTTTCACAAACTCCAGGAAGTTACATCTTCTGACATACGAACAGGAATTGTAAGGAAAGCAGTTACCATAAAAAGTCAGGTTTCTCTACACGTCCTTAAAAAGTATGAAAACAAGCCTTTTTTTTTTTTTACAATTTCCCAGTTCTGGTATAAAAAAAACTGAATTTAGAAAAATAGTAGATTTTTATGGACTTTTTGCTGTCTTGCTAGCAAACTACCTGGCTAGCTACTTAGCTTGCTGTGAATCCCTCTAACTATCTTTCTAGCTTGCTAGCTGAATCAATACAGATAAAGCCAGACTGATAGGACTAACTCTATAACTTTATTTAGATAGCTAGGTCAGGGTAAATGTAGATAGATTGATCTTGAGCTATATATCTGGACACCTAGATCTAGACAGAGAGTTGTAGATAGATCCATTGCTGTTCTGTAGGCAGGCTGCCGTTACGCCGGCGCTGTAGATATGTGGTTATTTAAGGCACAGCAGAGGGAAGTAATGAGGTGGAGGTGGGAATGTAGGTTGGTCAGGCTCAGAAAGTCCCATAATTCAGTTAGAAAGCTCAGAAATGCTGTGGAAGGATCTTAACCTCACCAGCCATTTTGAACTCTTTAATCCTGTAATTCTAATTCAAGCCATATTTCATGCATTATAATCCAACTCTATGAGTGTAAACCCTTCACCATAATGGGCTCTGATGTGAGCTGGGCTTTAGGTTTCGGCGCATCGTAAAACAGCAACAGGTCAGACCAGATCATGCCTCTGCCATTATGTCCATCAATCACCATTTTTTTACATTTTCTTTTTATTACCATCCTGGAGTGGATGGTAATAAAAAGAAAGTTACACAGGCTAAAACAGTGAATAAATGAAGAAATGAAAAGCTCATGCTTCAAACTGTGTCCACAGTTTCCATTATATTCATCATCTGGACCACCAAGGTGTTCCGGCTGGTCGACTGTCAGAGGGTCGGTTTCTGTTTTCTCTGATAAATTCTGTTTAGTTTGTGGAGAGGAGAACGCGAACCTACTTTCCGTTGCGTTCTGTGTCGACTCTCTCCCTCGTAGGGCTGGCGGGACTTGTGGGTAGACGATGCGTTCTGGCGCCTCCTGTTTTCCACTATGCTGCTGGTCATCATGGTGCTGCTGCGACCATCCGTTAACAGCCAGAGGTTAGAGAGACTTCGGAAAAGCGACAATGAATTGTAATTACTGAGCTGATGACTGAATTTAGCCTGGGTTGGGTTTTTGCCCCCAGGTTCTCTCATTCCCCTCTTATTGACGAAGACGATGAAGAAGATGAAGCCAAGGAGCCTATGATTAACGAAGCTTTTGGTAAGAAGTACTTATGTTTTTATCAACAGTTTTATCACTAATTTAAACACCTGCCATTTTAAAAAAAGAATCGAACACACTGAATTCTGCAGCACATCTACATGTTCAGATTGTCAAAGTCAAGTTAGCATCTATGACCTACTTGAAATGTGATGCCCTTTGACCTTATTTTGTAGTTGTCGTGGTGTTGAATATCAGCAGCAAAGCACTGCGTCCCTTTTTCTTTTATATACATATATATATCACGTGTACATCTCAGATTTAGCGCGTTGTGATGACAACCTGACGGCTAAAACCAATGGCGGTCATCATCTGTGTGTGTGTGTTATCTCAGCTTTCCTTATTTTTACGTCCAGAAGGAATGAAGATGCGAGGCTCGAAACCTGACGCCAACGGCTCCCAGAAACTTCTGAATAAAGAGGTAGACTCTGTTGTTCTGTCATTTTTATGTCTTCAGTCATGCTCTTCAAGCTTTAAATTATGTCAAATGTTGCATTTTTGTTGTCAGGATGAGGACCTGAAATGGGTAGAAGAAAACATTCCTACCTCCGTTGCTGATGTGTAAGTCTGTCACTGCAGTCATTTTGGTCACCTCAAATCATTTTGGATTTTCATTTTGGCCTGAATTCCACAGTGTATGGGCATTCAAGCAGTCCAGAAATATAGTCAGCAACATGCTAACGCTCTCGTCTTCTTTCCCCTTCATTCAGAGCTCTCCCTGTTATGCTGGATGAGGAAGAGGTAAAGTCTTCTTCTTTCCCCCTCGTGCCAATCCCATGATTCTTGTCACAGTTTGCACTATTTAAAGACCTCCAGCCGTTGACCTTTAATTTGCCCTTTATCTCGCTGTCACGCTGACTCTTGCGCATAAATCTCTGTGCTTTTCTTGTAGGAGATCCTCAAAACTAAGATGGAGCGATCGAAAATGGAGTAGAGGAAAAAGCAAGAAGAAAAAGAAGCAGCAATGAATGAAATGATAGAAATGTCATCACCAAAAAGAACATGGAAGAAAATTATATTTGATTTATTTATTTATTGTTTTCTTTTTTGCACAAGTTGTGTTCAGCTCAGAAGTGTAAATAGTGTGTTAGAACAAGGAGACGATGTATAGCAGAGCATTTCTGTTTGTTTCACCTCTGTGTCTTCACTGTCGGGTAAGCTCAAGAGCACATCATTTCCACGTTAAATAAGATTCTGAAACCTATTCCCGTGATATTTGAATTGGTACCATGTGCAACTAAGGCGGATATGACTGATGGTAAAAATCTTCCATCCAACGACGTCTTACTAATGGCGTTAGATCGACTGGAACATGCTGAAGCATGAAAATGTCATATAGTGCTGAAAACAGCAGGGTATTGTTGTTGAAGTCGGCACAGAGTTCTGACACTTAAACAGAACGTGCCGACTCTTATTTGAAATTGTTTTCAGAATGTGTTTCATAATTGATCACATGATAATGGGGAAAATATTAGATTGGTATATCAAAAAAGATGGTGCATAACTAAAAAAAGGATTAAAATGTTATTTTTTATATGTGGAAAAATATGGCATGAGGTTGTTTTCAACCCCACTGAGCCAGTGCTGTGTGACTTTAGCTGCAACTAAAGCTGCAGGTCTTTTCTGGTGCGTCTCTTACAGGTAAATAACTGAACTCCAACTCCGTCAGGTGGGTTGGACAGCCTAAACGCTCCAGTCTTCTACAGATTTTCATTTGAGGTTGGGTCTAGACTTTGATTGAGCCATTCCAAGACATGCTTTGATTTAAACCTGTGGTGTTCAAACTTTATGTCCTTAGAGCCAAAACTGGCAAATGGAAGCTTTAAGTGGGCCACAAAATCCATTAACTTCAAAATGATTTCCTTTGGTGCTGTTGTTTTTAGTTTTCTTGCTCAACAATAACATTTCGAAATGAAAAAAATCTGTAAATGTTTAAAGATCATAAATATGAAAAGGGGCTTCAAACTATTGCGTTTTTTTAAAAAACTGACATTTTCCAAATTTCTGGGGTCACCAATTGCTTTTACCACTCTTGACTTGTTGTCAGGGGCTGCAGAAAATTGTTATCAAGGGCAGCAAATGGCCCCTGGCCCACACATTGGACACGCCTGATTTAAAAACATTTTGCAAAAAGGTCAAAAGTTCAGTTTTGGTCTCTTCTTACCAGATCACCTTGTTCCACGTGTTTCCTCTCTTCCTTGCACAGATTTACGGCAAACTGTAAGCAGAAGCTCTTATGACTTCCTTTCAACGCTGGCTTCCTTCTTGCCTTAAAGATCATGTTTGCGGAGGTCATGACTAATCGTCACCCTGCCGACACATTCTGTCTGCTGTGCTCTCAGTTGTCATCATTCTGTTTGCTCATTTGTGTATTTTAATCCCTGAGGCCTTCACTGGACAACTGGAATTATATTGAGATTAATTATATTTACTGCACAGGTGATTTTGCATGAGATTGGATTTTATGTAGGGATGTATGAGTAAATGGGGCTGACCACAAATGCATGCCAGACTTTCGGAAATCTATCATCTGTCATCTATGTTTGAGGGGTACAGAGACTTTTTCCTGCCAGTGTATTTAAACAGTACATTTTCTCAGATTATTTTTATCCAGATTATTTTTACCCAGATTATCTCAAGGAGCTGCATTTTATTTTATTTTTTTAATATTTCCTTTATTACTCACTTGTAAAGTTATGGATGGATAGTCTATGAAAGGCCAAATTGTGTTGCTTTTGACATTAAAAATTGTTGCGTTCAGGATGGCAGCCAGAGAATCTCACCCCTCATATCGATGTGGTGTGGGCCTATGTTTATGACACACGATTTACAGCATGTATGTTAGAGGCTAATTTCAGTAATTGGATAGATGCTTACTTTAGCACCTCACTCCAATTCAGGCATTCATTTAAAGAAAAAAAATCAGAAAATTAGTGAATAGTTAGTTACTGTTATAATCGTGCAAGGCTTTACCAGTCACACTGCAAATATAGTTTTAGTTCTTCCTCAGTTTATGACAATATGTGTAGATATTCTGGAATCCTTGCGTTCTGGTTTTATAAAGAGTCAAGAATATTTTAGTTTGGAAATATTTGACAGTCTTTAAGGACTTGGATCTGTTGTGAAGCTTTTTTGCATATGTTCTGCAGAGAAACTTTGTATTAAACGTCTATGAAAATATGAGTTTGTGTTGTTTTGTTTTTTGCACTTAATGAACGGTAAAGTAATATCTGTATTTCCAGTCTTTATTTACTGTGGTCTAAAATGTTCATCCATCACAGAATATATTCACAAACGTGTCCGTTTCGTTGTCTCTCCATCCATTCATTTATTTGTCCATCCATGAATTGGTGTGATTTTCTCCATCCAATCACGCATGCGTACTGACGTCTTCTACACTTTTATCTTGTCATAATTGTCCAGTCGTTTGTCCAGCCCAACTAATATTTTTTTTAATCCATTAATATTTTTCTTTCTTTATGAAGGACCAACTTATCGTGGTAAAATTATTCCTCATAAATTCAGTTAACTAGGGAAACTCCTTCCACAGAGCCTCTTTATCAGTTTTTGCCGGGTGACTGTTAAGGAGTTTAGTGAAAACAAGATTCCAACCAGTCTACATTTTTACGTCAGATAAATGCTGCTTTCACTGCCATAGTTTTAGTTTGCATGTTTTATTTTGTATTCTTTATATATTTTTTTATCACCACTCTTATTCTGAAAGGTCAAAATAGGAAGTGGAATCCAGCATGTTGCTAGGTAACCAGAGACGCTTGCGATATGTTAGCGTAGCTTTAGCAAGTGACTGTAGAAAGGTCGTTTAAGTTTAAGAATTGATTTAATAACCTCATTTCTACCTGGAGAGGAAGGGTCAGCCAGCGAGATATGTTTTATGTCCATATTGTGTTCGTGACACCATCTCACTTTAGTTCATGTCCATTTTAGTTCGATGGTGGTGTTGGTGTCAGTGAAACAAAGTGACGCTGTAACGAGGTGGAAGTGATAGATAGCTGCTTTTAATTCCGCTGTGAGCGCGTAGTAAATGACAGCTACTGTATTCATGGGCAACACACAAGTGCTGTTGTTGTCACCGGAAGTCATGTGGAAAGACCCGGATGATGACGAGGAAAGACCCCGGATGGATGTTTGTTCTACGTTTTCAGGAAAGAATGGCGGTGACGTCAAAAGCTACAAAGATATATTAATAGGAGCCTTGGAATATACTGGGCAGCACAGTGGCGCAGCTCGTAGCGCTGAGCCTTGCAGTCCGGAGGGTCCGGGTTCAAGACCAGCTCGGAACCTTCAGAATGTACGGAGTTTGCATGTTACTCCCTGTGCTTGCGCGGGTTTCCTCCGGGTACTCCGGTTTCCCCCGCACTCTAAAACATTGCAAAACGGTAAGTATTCCTCCTTCTCAACTATCCTTAGTGCGTGAATGTGTGAGTGAAAGCGTTGTTTGGTTGGATGAATGAATGGATAGGTTTTTTGAATCAGTGTTCATCATTGTTCATCCCGCTTTGCTCTCCAAGCGGTAAACTCCTCCCTTCTTAGTTTTTTGCCGCGTGACTGTTAATCAGTTTCATTGACACTTAAGTGTTCTTAATTTCTTTCTTAATTTTCTATGCTAAAATTAAGAAACAAAGAATGAAGCAAAAGTTATTTTTGCTAAATTATTATATTTAGCTAAATATTATTGCTGATGGCACAGGCAGGCCTCCTGGCATACAGATAATATATTTGAAAAAATAAAGTATAAAATATTTGAAAAAAATATTCTTAATTCCTACAAGTATCAAATTTAATATATAAATAATTTAAGGTCACCTTGTGAATAATCTTCTTGCTGTCTTTAGTTGTGGTGGAGGGAGAAATAAAAGCCACTGCCCCTTTAATTCGGTCCTCGTGAGTTCAGTCACGTGCCTGTCAAACGCTCGCGCAGCTGTCAACAGTGAGGAAGCGGCGAGAAGCAACAGTGGAAGTTAAAAACTGAGCTGCTACTCTCAGTTTTATTGCGTCGATTATTGGGTGTATGTTGTCACCGGCGGCTACTTTGGGTCTTTTAGAAAGATGGCGGCCTCGGCTCGCTTTTCACTGAAAGAAAACAATGCTCACCACTAGCTGTTGCTAGCTAACTTCTGAGCTAGCTCGCTAACAGTCAGCTGTTGTTATGGTTTGGTTGGGGCGACAGCTGGCTATCACCCCAAGTGTTCGCTTGTCATATTTGTCCGAGAATACCAGGATTTACCAGACTGCAATTTCTACGGTCGTTCTGGACACATGGAACTGGTCGGCCGGCGTTTAATGGCGACTTAAAAAGCTGCATCACCCTGAAAGACTCGTCAGCTGTTGTCTGGCAATTTACCCAGCAGAAACATTGTGTAAGAGAGTCAGCAAAACCGCTTCAAGATGCACGACGCGTATGAGCCAGTGCCTATTTTAGAGAAGCTTCCTCTTCAGATCGACTGTCTTGCTGCGTGGGGTGAGTATCTTCCAGAGGGTTATTGTCCCTCTGTGGGTTTTATGTCCCGAGTGTCCCAGCTCACATCTCTCAGGCTGGGATGGATGCCACAGTATGAATACGAAGTCTGGGAAAGGAGTGAGGAATATAAATAACCTCAAAAAACATTTTTTATAATAATAAAAATATACATTTTTTTTGTTTTGTTGTTGAAATAAAGAAAAAGTTGGAAAAGTTAACAAAAACTGTTGAACTACTACAGCAACTATGTAACAAATACAAATATTTTAAAAATAAAAATAATTTTCACTTATAAAAAGGGTGTGCCTGATACTCAACTTTGGATAAGAAGATTGTTCCAGAATAATGTCTGACCCTGTAATTGTAAAACTTTTTTGTTTTCTGTCCTTGCTAATACACACAAAACATTGTCAAATCAAAAAGTTGGCCCTGATTTTAAACGCTGTTGTAAAGTTGATTTTCTGTTAAGCTGTTAGGCTTAATATTGTTGTTTTGCGTCATGATATACATATTTTTTGGGAGGTATTTCCGCCAACAGTTTAACTTTGCTTTAATCCTGTTTCCGTCTCACAGATCAACTTACGGATGCACTCAAAATGTTTAGAGTTTAGAGAAGAAAAAAAATCAAAACATGTCTAATTTTTTGCTCTATAACTTAAAAAAACACGTGGAAAAAAAAAACAGGTCCACTTTTCGTAGACTGACATTCTGTTTTAAAACTCATTATATTTCAAACTTTGTCCCTGTGTTTGCCCCTGCAGAGGATTGGCTGCTTGTTGGAACAAAACCAGGACATCTTCTCCTGTACAGAATCAAGAAGGATGCAGGTAAAACAGACTGAGTGTTGGAGGTTTACTTTTGATATACATTTTTTAAAGTGTTAGTGGGAAATATGCCTAATTTGTTTTCTCCTCAGCCACCAACCGGTTTGAGGTGACTTTGGAAAAGTCTAATAAAAACTTCTCCAAGAAAATTCAACAGGTAAGAGAAAACTGGGAACAACGCCAGAACAAATGAGTTGTTTAGTTCGTGAGGAAGCATCAGGCATCTTCGTGCATATGTGTAGCATTCTAAATAAATCTGTTTTTTATGTTTTTAAATAATCTGTGGTTCGTTGAGTTCAGTTTAAAAAGCATTTTAACATCATTATTGTTTCTTTTTCTCCAGCTGTATGTCGTCTCTCAGTATAAAATTCTCGTCAGTCTTTTGGGTAAGTTTTGGCATCATATTTACCTACTATTTATTCGTCATAAATGTGAAGTTCATCCGTTTTCTTGTTTTATTGCTTATTGACTTAAAAATAGTCTCTAAAAATTTGAGATTAAGACTGCTGTGTGCATGGTTCCAGACTAACTTTTTGCACTGGCGCACCTAACTTTTTTTTATTTAGCTTCCCTGCCACAGCTTTAAAGTGCAACAATATGTTTTTGCAGTTTCTTTACCACCACAACATTACGTATCTAACGGCAATATTTTGTTCATAATTGCCATGTTTGTGTTGGAAATTATTATTATTATTATTATTGTTAAAGGTTGGGGGCACCAGTCCAACCAAAAAAAAGTTGTTCTTTTTGCATTTTTCTTTGGAGGTGCAACAAAATTGTTTGCACAAGTTGTTTAAACCTCCTTCGTGCCTTCCAGAGAACAACATCCACGTCCATGACCTCCTGACCTTCCAGCAGATCACTGTGGTGTCTAAGGCCAAAGGAACCACGCTGTTTGCATGTGACCTGCAGGTCAGTTAAAGTTTCTCTGGCTTCAGCTCTTCAACTCTGGTTTATTCGAACACATTATGTAGCTGGTTGGAGATAAAATGTTGCAAAAGCAGCTGCATACCAGAAACTGTGGATCTAAACTTTTTTGTTTGTTTGTTTTTGCCATTAAAAACACAACTTTTCTGTGTTTTGTTGGTGTTTTATGTTGATTCCCCCTGTTGCCCCCAGGACATTACTCAACAAACAGCATCATGATCATCAATTAACGCACATCGGCCAAAGACTAACTTATGCAAAAGCTCAAAGCAGCGTTTGGTTGTAAAACATTATAACTATTTTTTCACATTTTTCAGGAGTGCTGTCAGAAATTAGAGTGTAGAAACTATTGCACACCTGAACACACAGCCTCCATAGTCATGGTGGTGGCAGCACCATGCTGTAGAGGCAGGGACATGAAAGCAAACCAAGGTTGATGAGAAGCTTAATGGAGAATGATTTCAGAACTTTATTTGTATAAAGTTTAGAAAGAAATGTATCATTTCTCTTATATTTGACAGTTAAATGTAACTGTCACTTGAAATACCAATAACATGCAGTGCATTTTGTCAATCAGTTTGAGGTCTATGAATAGTTTTTTAATGACTGCAAATTATCTTTTTATTTGTCGATTGTTTTTCATTTTAGCTTCAGTTTGAAGCTTTTCGTAAGGATTATTAGTTCATGGCTGTCAGAGTAGTCAAAATGTTCTCGGTGTGTGTAGAAAAGGAAGTTTGAACACGATAAACCGTGAATCCTTTGTGCCAAGTGGGAACCTGAAAGCAGAACCATTAGTGAGACAAAATATGGAGGGTAAAAATGTGAGGGAGGAAAAAAAAGCCACGCAACAGTTGTAACACATTTCATAATTTACTGAAATGAACTAATCTGCTGTCCTCCATCCAAAAAATTGAAGCGTTTATATAAAGTAACCACCATTTGTGGCTTTTTTAGTGTCAAATTAAACATTATGTATATATTTTTGAATCTTCAGCAATCGAGCTCCGGAGAAGAGAGCCTCAGAATGTGTGTAGCGGTGAAAAGGAAACTTCAGCTGTATTACTGGAAAGATAGAGAGTTCCATGAGCTGCAGGTAAATTAAATTTCATCAAACCCCAGTGAGTCGCCTGTGTGTGTGTGTGTGTGTGTGTGTGTGTGTGTGTGTGTGTGTGTGTGTGTGTGTGTGTGTGTGTGTGTGTGTGTGTGTGTGTGTGTGTGTGTGTGTGTGTGTGCGCGCGCGCGCCTGTGCGTGTAATGTAAGTTTCAATTTTCCACACAGCCCCCTTTGACTTCACTGCATTCTGGCGTCTCGTTGTTTTTGTTTCCATTTCTCAGGGCGACTTGGGTGTGCCAGATGTTCCCAAGTCCATGGCTTGGTGTGAAAACTCCATCTGTGTTGGCTTCAAACGGGACTATTACCTCATTCGGGTATGTCTTAGTGAAAAGCACCTCAGCGATTTGTCTTGCGAGTGAAATGAGTTCTCAGGAGAGTTGACTGAACATCCTAGGATGTTCAGTCAAATGTTCAATCTAAACGTTCTTAGATTAAGAATGTTTAGTAACATTTGTCTGGTTACTCTATGAAAAACCACGGCACTTCACCAAATATGTTTGTATCTGAGGTGTTTAGCAATGGATGAGCTGATATGTGCCTTTCTTTCTCATCATATTTTTGATTTTATGGTGATTTTGTAAGATCTTTCACAGGTTATGTCTATATTTGAATGAAATCGGTTGCTTGTTGGTCTAATCTCACATTTGGACTCTGTTTGCTGCGAACCAGCTGGATGGCCGCGGCTCCATCAAGGAGCTGTTCCCCACTGGGAAACAGTTGGAGCCTCTCGTTGCCCCGCTGGCTGATGGGAAGGTGGCTGTTGGGCAGGACGACCTCACCGTGGTGCTTAACGAAGAAGGAGTTTGCACCCAGAAGTGCGCCCTGAACTGGACCGATATTCCTATCGCCATGGGTAAGGAGTAATTCCCCAGCATTGACATATGCTTGACTTTAATCAGAAGAGACGGCAAAAGGCGAAGTCATGCACAAGATCTCAGAAAAGAGATCTATGTGGCTTAAATAAGAAATGAAAACTACAAAAAAACAGCCATACCTAAATGGACTGCAACTACCAAACAGCAACTACTAAATTCACAGTGGATGAATACAAATGTATACCTCACTTTTCAGGTTTTAATTTGTAAACATATTTGAAAGCCAGGGAGAGGCCTGTCACCGTAACAAGTTTTGCTGGATGATAAATTATCCCAGAGGTTATTGCGATAAACGATAATATTGTTGTTTTTGAGACCAGTTTCAAGTAAGTAATGGCATAATAATACAAGAACACATCATCAAGCTCTAAATACTTACCAAGATTTAACTCTGAAACAAGAAGACATTTTAAATATCCCAAGTAATTAAACAAAAACAACAGAAATAACCAATAAAATAAATTATGAAGTCAGTGTAAACACAATTGTTCTGCGAAACAAGGATTAGTTGAAATCACACTGTATGTAGATAGAGTGTCCTAAAGAAGTGTGTTACAAATGGAAATGTTTTTCAAGAGCAGTATTTGTTTCTGTGGGACCATAATTGCTGTAGCACACAGTTGCAATCACAGTTTCCTAAAAAAAAAGCAATGGACGGTTCTATCACTTTTATTTTTTATCTCAATATTAACATAAAATATTGTGACAAAACTTTAAGTCCATTTTGTCCAGACTCAAATTCCTACTGTTAAACTCTATTCAGATGATTTAAAAAATTTCAGCATTTTTAATAATGCCTAATACTTAATATTTTTTGAGCAATTTTCTACATGGTAGTTTTATTTTTTAACTCATCCACTGGCTTGTTTGTTGAGTTGTTCTGTATAGTCAAGTAATATTTAAGCCCAAGTCAAGTATTTGCTCAAGTTTTACCCTTTTCTTTTTCCGCTGTAGTCTAGATTAGCTGTCTTTTATCTGTCGCAACCATTTTTTGACTTCCGCGTGTTGGGAAATGAAGCGTTTACCTCATGACTAGTTCACTAAGGGTCCATGATGAGCTCTGTAGTTGTTTAAGATGCTGTGCGTTTCTGTTCTCACCGGAATACAGAACGGAAAAACAGCAAGAGGAAATGAAGCCTCCAAGCACTGGTTTTATGCAGCTTTCAATTTCCTCATCCTCATACAGAACAGAGCAGAGCAGAGCTGGAAGGCAGAGGCGGACGCGAGCAGCGCCGTTTTAGATCTGTTTAAACGGACCGGCCTCAACCGCTCGACTGTCCATAAACAACCTGAAGGTTTTTTTTTTTGTTGTTTTTTTTCTCCCAAGGTGAATCATATCTACAAAAACTGTTGCCTTTTAGCTGGATTTGCAGATAAATTAGCCTCACTGATTATGAATTTCCATAAAGAGATTCCTTTTGTTTGTGTTGTTGAACTAGAGATGCGCTGATCCGTTTCAGGGCAATAAAGTCGAGAACAAACGGACTAAGAAACAGTTTCTACCCAACAGCTGTTGTTGCTCTGCACACAGCATCTCCATCTGAAACCGGATCTTTGTTCATTTTATTTATTCTTCACATCCCAGCTGTTCTGTGTTACTTCGAGTTTCTATTTTTTTACATTTTGTTGTGCTTTGTTTGTGCAGACTGACATTAAAAGAAATTCTAGTTCTAATTTTGATATGCTCTTCTCATGAGTTACATGTTAACATAGGATCCCTTCTTTGATGTCACCTGCACAATTGTTGCATCCATTGAACTTGTGAGTTTGTGGAAAGTTTCTGCTTGAATTTCTTTGCAGGATGTCAGAAAACCTTCCCAGAGCTGCTGTTTTGATATGAACACGGTGTATTTGACATTATATTTTGAGTTCTTCTGACCATTTAAAATGTTTGTTGCAGTTCATTTTTACATGTTTGACCAAGGTAGTCAACCTATTCTTTTTGTCAGCTAATTATTTATTGTACATTAGTTGTTATACTCCTAACTGCACTGACTGAACAAATAAAAGTTGTGTTGTGAAGCTACTAAATTTGCAATAAATTCACTTCGGAAGTAAAGAAAGTGGATCGGTGTGTCCTTAGTTCCTGGTCCATTAAATTCTGTTTCATTTAGTCCTGGTCACAAACTTTCTCGTAATAACCCTGTTTTTCCTTTTAAGCTTGGAAAGAAAAAAACAGTTCAACGCAAACAAATAAATATAACTTTATTTCTTTTAATCCCCGCAGAGCACCAGCCTCCCTACATCATTGCGGTCCTCCCGCGGTACGTGGAGATACGGACCTTAGAACCTCGGCTGCTGGTGCAGAATGTGGAGCTGCAAAGGCCGCGCTTCATCACCTCAGCAGGGTGAGACCAACTTCACAGCCGTAAACCAAGACGAGATGATAAAAGTGGAAAAAAAAAACTGTTGTCTATTTTGACATAGTAGACTGACCTTTTTTGTAATAATCTGTTTTCAAGTAAATGTTCTGGCTTTTATTTGTGCTTCTCCACTATGGGAAATAAATTTGTTTTGCGAGACTCTCATAATGGCTTTTAAATTGACCACATTTTAAGCACTGCAATTTGGAGGCTGCAATTATTAGAAACGAAGAGGACTGAGTCAGTTTGTGTTTTTCCCCCTCTTCACCAATTTGTTGCCCCATTCCAGATGTTCACGTTACCATTTCATCCCGTATTACTCCCGTTTTGTACCTGCACGTTAAATTTACTTGTATATCACCGTTCAAATGCAGAGTAATATCAAGATTCGTACAGAAAACAGAACAAGAAGGCACTAAAACAAAGAGGAACGACGCATCAAAAAGTCAAGGAAAGCATAAGCAAATAAGACATAATGACAAGAAAGAAAGAAACATGCCAAGTATTTAAGTAATCTTTGGCTCTTCCAATTAAACAGTCATGTTTTGAGTCATGATTAAAAGGAATCAAAAGTTTCTGCATGTCAGGTTTTGAGGCGCTCGCTTGCAGAGCCGATCTTTCATGATCAGTTAGAAATACAATCAAGAGCTCAAACATTGAGCCTGAAGAATTGTATATAATAAAATAAATGCAAAGGTGGGTAGTAAAAAGTAGATTTTGATAACCATTGGCCTGCAATTTGTTTCTTTTTTTCATGTAAAGTGAGAACAATTTTATTTTGAGGGTTTTTCTCATCTTTACTGCCGATGCTTGTAGCTAAAATGCTTTTTCCCGTCTCTCGCAGGCCAAACATCGTGTACGTCGCCAGCAACCACTTCGTCTGGCGCCTGGTGCCGGTGTCGATAGCCAGCCAGATCCAGCAGCTTCTCCAGGACAAGCAGTTCGAGCTCGCTCTTCAGCTGGCGGTAAGCGCGAACCGCAGAGCTCACGTTTTATTTCCCTGAGAATTCAGCCTACCTGTGGAATATAAAATTACCCTAGAAATCCAGTTTTTGTTTGTTTGTTTCATTTGTAGAAAATGAAGGACGATTCAGATGGTGAAAAGAAGCAGCAGATACATCACATCCAGAATCTTTACGCCTTCAATCTGTTTTGCCAGAAGAAGTTTGATGACTCCATGCAGGTGTTTGCGAAACTTGGTACAGGTATGACTTCTCTAGCACGAATGGGACACACACGGGTCAAATCTATGCAACATACTGCAGCTGTACTTTTATTTATGCAACAACCTCACCCGACCAAATTACAACAGCATAGATATTTAAATGATAAAATAGAAAATAAAAATAAGTTTGACAAAGATAATATGAAAAATGATAAATTGTCAGTAAAATATCAAGAAAATAATAGAAACCAAGACATACTCACTCTCAGTTGCATCAATTTCCCAAAAACTCAAATCAATTAAGTACTCTGTCTTTTCCCTTTGTTTTTTGTTTATTTGTAAATTTTAAAGGATCGTTTTTACGTTTGCTGAATCAATTCTCGATGCAAATTTGTAATTATTCCATCATTTCTAATTATTTTGTCACTGTTTCATATCTCCTATTGAAACAGTATTTTATGAGCTCATATGTTAGCGTCACATATCCTCTGTAAAAATTTAACTAAAACAAAAAAACACTGAACGGCTGATAATACAGAATTCTTGCCGCCTTCTTTTTTTCCTATTGCGTTAATGTGCTGTACATGCTTTTTAAATCTTGTCATTTTACATATTTGTTCCGTGGCCGGCAGATCCCACGCATGTGATCGGACTTTACCCGGACCTGCTCCCTTCAGACTACCGCAAACAGCTGCATTACCCCAACCCTCTGCCCAGCTTGTCTGGGGCCGAACTGGAGAAAGCTCACCTGGCTCTTATTGATTACCTCACCCAGGTGTGTGTTTACAAAAGACACTAAATAAAATACTCTGCCTATGTGGAAATCCTTAAACATTGGGATAATATAAATTGTGGTAAAACTCTTTTGTTTGTCTGGTTCTCAAAGAAACGTAGTCATCTTGTCAAACAGCTGAATGACACCGGCCCGTCCACAACGTCTCCGCTCATGGAAGGAACGCCGACTATTAAGAGCCGCAAAAAACTCCTGCAGATCATCGACACCACGCTGCTCAAATGTTACCTGCACGTAAGACCAAAGTGACATTTGTCAATTATTCACTTACATCTGGTTATTTATTCCACATGGTTTTGGAAAACACTTCACACGCTTTTAAATTATTTCACATTTTGTCACATTATGACCACAAGCATCAGCGTACAGTTTGTACATTTATATTAACATAGCGTTCATTTGCAACAATCATCAATCACTGCTGATTTTAGTATTTTATTTGGAGATGTCCTGATCAGCTTTATATCTACTGATAGAGATTTGTTTATTTTCTTCTTTGTAAAATATCTTAAAGTCAGTCAGATCAAATGGAGATACTTTTTTCAAGATTGGTTTCAGATTCTGTTTTGTGTTCAGGTCTGGACTTTGACTGGGTCATTAATCTGTAACTCTGGCTGATTGTTAAGGGTTGCTTTACTGATAGAAGATGCACGTTCACTCCAGCCCCCTCAAAACAAATGTACCCCCACACCATGATGCTGCCGTCACCATGTTTCACTACAGTTATGTGTTCAGTGTCAATTTTTGTTCATTCAGATGCAGCTTATTATTCTAATCTTATTATTATTAAGTAACACTGATTTTAATGTCCACTGATAATCTACCTGAAAACTACTTCATAAAATCTTGACGTAGAGATAAGAAAACCTTATCTACAACAAAACACAACCTCACTTTTAGATGTGCTATGAAATTGGAAGATGCATCCGTAGAATGACAACAGAACAACTTTTTTGTGTTTTTGATTGTTTAACTGTTGCATATCTGATGAGGCAGAGGTCGTTCCGGTGTCCTGTATTGGCAGTGATGGTTTTTAAACGCTGTTTTTTGTTTGTTCGTCTGTCCCTTGCAGACCAACGTGGCCCTCGTCTCCCCCCTCCTTCGACTGGAGAACAACCACTGCCACATTGAGGAGAGCGAGTACGTTCTGAAGAAGTCTCAGAAGTACAGCGAGCTTATCATTCTCTACGAAAAGAAGGGCTTGCACCAAAAAGGTAGGCAGCTGTCACTGGATACACCTCAAATTTCTTTCTTGTGGCCATTTGTCTTCTTAGAACTTCTTTCAGCAACGTGTTTTTTCTCACCACTATTTCACGGAAACTAACAGTTTCCCAGCGAACAATTTCTCCCACACAGACTTATATCTTTTTTTTTTTTAACACAAGATTGTGATTGACAGCACTAAGCCCCGCCTCCTTGACCCGATTGGTTGTTTTGAGTTGGCACTAGGAGAAGAGGAGCTCAATGTTTTCACAGATTAACTGAATCATATTGTACAGTCACAACATGGTGACAGTTTCAACAAATGCATTGAAAACACTTTTTATGGAAAATTACATAATGCAGCTTTAACAAGTCTAGCCCAGAACAATCTGGTTCTGGCTGAGAGCTGAAATGCTTGACTGATTGCCATCACTGCAAAAACACAAATTTTGACCGAATATTTTTGGTCTGGTTTCTACAAAAAATATGCTGATACACTTGAAATGAAGGAAAACTAGCTTAAAAGTACATTTTCAGCAGGATGAAAGAGTTGATGAAAAAGTTCTAGTTCAGATTATTTAACTTATAACAAGACGATTTTCCTGTTGTAAGTGGAAAAAACCGCCAATAGAACAAGCGTTTTTTTGTTGTTGTTGTTGTCAATATTATAAAATTATTTACTTTAAAAAAAAAAACTCTTACATCTTGCTGAAAAGTTACTTATGAGTTAGTTTTGTCTCATTTCAAGTATACAAAACTTGATATTTGCACAATGAACTAGACCAAAAAAATACTTTGTAAAATTGTTTTGCTTTTGCAGTAATAAAATGTTTTACTACGGACTGTCTAGAAAGAACGAAGGTGGAACAATGACTACCGCTCTATTGGATTCCCTTGGCTGATTAAAGTCCATCTCTTTGATAAGTCAAGGGAATCCAATAGAGCGGTAGATCTAAATCACCTTTTATGATTTACGCATTTAAAACATCAACTTTTTACAGTCCTCGTCTTTGTTTAATTAAGGACATAAAATGTTTTATTCAAATGTGAAAGTTACTATGAGTCAGCTGAAGTATAGCTGTCGTTCCAGTCTGAGTTGTTTTGTGTCGTTTATTTGCCACAGCAAATAAACTGTTCAGCTTGACAGTGGAAAGCTGAACAAGTGATCCGCTTCATCATCTACTTTTTTTTCTTTGAGACTCGGGTTTTAAATTAGCGGTTTCAATGTCAGCCTGCTCCATGTTTGTCAGCTGCCGTCTCATTTGGCCCCAGATCCGATCATTTCTTCAAATATCTGCTCAGAGTTGCACAATGCAGCCATTATAAGCCCAGTTGGTCCATTACGGATGGAGAACATCGCCAGGCACCGGTTAGCTGCTCGTAACAAAGCCGAATCCTTTGGGGTTTGGGAATCAGCTCTGTGAGGCTACGCGGCCAGAACAGCTTTCCTCCTTGAATCACAGCGGTTTGCTCTTAGTGGTTTCGGCCCATTCTGGACGCTGCGGGCGCAGCTGGTCCTAATTGGCCTGCCCTGATTTATGCCTGTGATGTCACGCTGCTCAAGTTTACCTCTGAATTAAAAGCAGCTGTTTGTAGCCACCAGCTAACGTTGTGGATGTGCTGGATTATGTCACAAACACGGCATCCTGCTGTGCCGTATAAACCACTAATCACGCGTTCCCTCCCGCTGTCCTGTCATCCATGTTGTTGTTCTCACTTTGTTTGCTCTGTTTCAGCCTTGCAGGTCCTGCTGGACCAATCCACCAAGGCCAACTCTCCTCTGAAAGGTCATGAGCGAACCGTCCAGTACCTCCAACGACTGGGTGAGATTCAGCCGGGTTGACTGGTTTAAAGGATTTGTACCTCTTGAAATTCTCCAAGTGTTTTTCATGTTGCTTCCGCAATGTTGGGCGCGTTTTATTGGGATTTTATGTGATGGACATGAAGTATGGCGATATCAAGAAGTGGAAGAAAAATAAACTGAACAACATTCAACTGTTTGTAATTCCCCACCTTGTGAACTTTTCTCACTCACAGGATCAGAGAATCTGGGGATAATCTTGGAGTTTTCTCCCTGGGTGCTTAAAATCTGTCCTGAGGACGGCTTGAAAGTGAGCAAACAAATTAATAGGAAATTCAAGTTACTTAAATATCTTGTTTTTTGTTGTTGTTGGGTTCTTTTTGTTGTTGTTTTTTTTTACATTGGCTTGTTTTGAAACTGTCTCCTCCTCTTTAGATCTTCACTGAAGATCTGCCCGAGGTGGAGACTTTGCCCAGAGACAAAGTGCTGCAGTTCCTGAAGGAAGGCTTCGTGGAGCTGGCCGTCCCGTATTTGGAGCACATCATTTATGTGTGGGACGAGAAGGGCCCCGAGTTTCACAATGTGCTTATTCAGCTGTATCTGAGCAGGGTACAAGGCCTGATGAAGCAGTACCTCAACTCACTGCCAGAAGGTTTGTTGGAGGCGGGGGTTGTTTATCCAATCTGAGCAATTTCACTTTCAACCAAAGATGGTGTCATTCTTTTTAATGGTAGGATGACACAAACAGACATTCAAAGTTGAGGTACTTGTCCTGTCATTTATGCATTGATAAATGGAAAGTCTGTACATTTAGAGAGCAAGTTTTCTCTTTAACACAGTAAAATGTTCCTATATGCATGATTGCCCTCTAGTGTTAGAAAAGAGATTAAAAGTAGCAGATTAAACAAACTGCTGGCAGTAAAGGGTTCATTGCTTTGTCTCCATTAATCAAGCCATAACATGAGATACGACTTTTCTTTCAGGGATTATCGTGATTAGAATGGGTCAACAAATACGCATCTTAAGTTTTTACAGACAGACTGTGTTGGCGTCGGGTACCTCCATGTGTTGCTCAATGCATAACTGCACTATAAATAACACATTTGCTATGTTTACTTTATCAAAAACGCCATAATCAGCAGATATTCTAAAAAACAACAACAAAAAAAAGGGAGTTTACGGTCATTTAAAATTCTTAACGTCTGATCGTTTTTTTTTTTCAATGTCCATCGTCTCACTAACTGTGCTGATGAGATTGGTTTTGTTGTCTGTAGGGGTTTCTGCCGTTCCTGCCGGCCAGGAGCAAGGTGAACTGGGAGAGTTCAGGAACAAGCTGCTGACTTTTTTGGATATTTCCACCAGCTATGAATCTGCCAGACTCATCAGCGACTTCCCATTTGATGGTAGGAAATGTTCCCCGAAGCTCTGCCGCTTCTGAAAATGTGTTAATTCATTTCAAAGCCTTTTTTTTTACACATATAAAAACACAAGTTATATAAGATTACATATTGAACAGCAGTAAAGTTTCAAGTGTTTCCCATTATTTCTGCTCAGAGTATCTTAGAAAAATGTAGCGCTGCAGGCCGCCAGTCTTCGGCTGCCTCGCTGACCTTGTTCTCCTTGTTTTGCATCTGGAAGGGCTGCTGGAGGAACGGGCTCTGCTCCTGGGTCGCATGGGTAAACACGAGCAGGCGCTTTTCATATATGTTCACGTCCTGAACGACACCCGCATGGCCGAAGAGTGAGTACCTGTGCAAACGCCGCCTCGCCCCACCTCAAACAACAGCAGCCTTCTGAGCGCTCGCTGGAATTAAGATGAGCAAATGTCTACTGATTCTGAATCACTTTGTTGCCAAATTTCTTTCTGTGAATTATAAGAGCGGATGACTCATTTGAACTGTTGTAACTATGAGCATTTTTTGGGTCTTTGAGACCTTGATGATGATTTTCTCTTCTTTCATCGTATAGATACTGCCACCGGCATTATAACAGTTCAGTGGAAGGAAACAAAGATGTAAGTACTTTTGTTTTTGCCGTTGTTTTTATCACATTCTGCAATAAACGCCATCATCACAGCAGAGAAACTACAGCACATCTTTCGAAACAGGAGAAATCTAGTATATAAACTAAAGCTCAAAGAATTACATTTATAACTTGGCTGTTGGTGTTCAGTCCAATTGTTAGGGATGTTGGATGAGAGCTAGTGAGTTAGGGAGTGAAGGAAATGAGAGAGGAGGAAGACGGTGATGAGGTGTGCTGTGGGAGTCACAGATGGGTTTGAAGGTCATCAGGGATCTGCTCTGAGACCCTTCAACTTTCACAGGTTGAAAAATCAGGCTGGTCGTAATGTTTGCAGATGACATTGCAAATATTGCACTGTACCACAATGTCAATACATTATTTTTCTTTTTTTTCAGAGATAATAAGAAAAACATCTTAATTAATCACAGGCAAGAAATGAATGAGTTTCTCTACAGGCTGGGAAAAAAGTTTATAAATGGTGTTTTAGTAAAGTAGAGCTTAAATACTTTATATTCCAATGGTAAACATTTTCTTCAGTCTCTTTGTGTTTTTTCTTTGTCCCACTAATAACTGAATATAAATGTAGGTGCAGAAAATGAGGGTAACTTCTGATGAAGTTCTAACCTGTTGATGTTGATTTTAGCTGACTTTTTAAAATATCTTTTCATAAAAATAAAAGTTCAAATTTTTCTCTAGTCTTCCTGGATGTTCTGTATTCATTACATGAAGCAGAAACGACATCACTCAGCATGTTTTAGAGAGAGTAGTCTCTTAAAATCTAACAAAACTAGTCCAATATTTTCAGAAAATGATAAAGCAGAGCAACTCTGCCTTCCTGTTATCTTCTGAAAGTCCTCTCACTTTCTCTGTCTCGTTTGCTGCTCGAATGATCTAAAAGTAAAACCTCAGTGTCTTCCTCCGTAGCTCGTTTATTCTGATTGAATTGAGCTAAAACAAGACAGAGCTTGAATGTAGGGAAGATTGAAGTGCTGTGACTCTGCCTCGCAGGTTTATCTGTCCCTGCTGCGCATGTACCTGTCTCCCCCTGACGCCCACTGCCTGGGGCCCATTAAGATGGAGCTCACTGAGCCTCAGGCCAACCTGCAGGCAGCTCTGCATGTCCTGGAGCTGCACCACAGCAAGCTCAACACCACTAAGGTAATCACTTCTTGTACATTTTGCACTTTTCTAGTTTGCACTTCAGTTCAGAACTTTTGCCATAAATAAAAGATAGAGGCTTGAGTAACAAACTTGAGATACAGCCTTGGGTTGTTTTTTTTTTTTTGCCCTAATTCTTCAGAAGATGTACATGCAGCATCGACGCTAATTTATCCAGAATTTCACTCAGTAATATGTCTTTTCAATCATTAAGACCCCATGGATTAGGAAAACAACCTATGCACTGCAAAAACACCACATCTTATCAGGTTTTTTTGGTGAAGTTGTAAACATCTTGGTTCACTTGAAATGAGACTAAACTAGCTTACTAGCTACCTTTTCAATCAGCTAGCTTCTTTTAAAGTCAATAAATTCCTTAACATCGATGGAAAGCCCACTGTTCCACTGCAGATTGTTTCACTGAACAAAAAGTTTTATTTGAAATAATCTGCCAGTGGAACTAGTAGTTTTTCATCAATATTAACGAATTATTCACTTAAAACTAGCTAGCTTGCTGAAAAGTTAGCTAGTAATTAGTTTTGTCTCATTTCAAGTGTACCAAAATATTTGCACTAGGAACTCGACCAAAAATACTTGGCAAGATTCGCAGCGTGTCTCTTTTCCCATGTCACGTTTTTGAATCGTTGACCTGTTTTGTTTTTTTAAACCCGTATTTTTTGTGGCCTCCGTTTCTCCAGGCTATCAATCTGCTCCCAGCAAACACTCAGATCCGGGAGATTAAGGTCTTCCTGGAGAGCGTCCTGGAGGAGAAGGCCCAAATGAAACGCTGCAACCAGGTGTTGAAGAGTCTGCTGCAGGCCGAGTTCCTCAGGGTGAGATCTGGGAAATGTCTTTATAGCAGACCCGACTGATAGTGAGATGCCTTAGCAGAGAGATTTTGTTCAGGCTTATTCCTGGGGGCCTTTTTAGAACAGAATCTGATACTCTGTTAAAGAAAATCCTGAAGGGATTGGACATTTACACAATACTTGAAAACTTTCTGGTGTAGATCATTCAGGGGATTCTTCATTATGCTGAAACATCGATGTTTCTTGGGATGATGTCATCTGATGGATGGTTGTTCTTTTCTCCATTTTTTTTTTTTGTCTTGCTGAAAGATGTTTGGGGAAAAGATGTTAAAGCTGATTTTGTGTCTGTTCTCAGGTGCAGGAAGAACGAATCTTCCACCAGCAGGTTAAATGTGTCATAACAGAAGAAAAAACCTGCAGAGTCTGTAAGAAGAAGATAGGAAACAGGTAACATGAGTTTTGTGTTAGTAATATTTGAAAATAAGAGAAAAATCAAGGGCTCTGATCTCCCTCCAGGATGTTGCGATGTTTTTATTTTTTTTTATTTATTTATTTATTTATTTTTGTGTGTGGCCTAAAATTACTGACTTTTTGGGATGCATGATGGTGTGGGAATGTCAGATGAAAGAAAGGTTGTCTTATTCCATGTGTCACGCCGGGCAATTAAAAAAAAACACTGTCAGTTTCATCAATCGATAAAATCCCTCCTGGATTCCCCAGAAATCATGTTAGAAGCGACCATGTTGGAGGACGTTGGTCAGATTTGTGGAAAAATTGCAACTGATGAGTGAACTTGAATTAAATGTGACCTATTGTGCTTCCTTGAACTGGTCTATGCAAAACATGCTCATTACATTTTAGATTTTTTCTTTTTGCACAAAGTAATTCTTAGATAGTGAGATTTTCTTCTGCTCCTTTTAGAATGAGATGTTTTAAAGTCTGTTTACAGAAACAGACGTGCAATTACACAACCATACATCTTTGAAAAGCAAAGGTGGAGCCTTCCGTACAAGCAACAAGAACGCATCAAGCGGTTTCTAAATATTTAGTCAACAACAAAATGCTTGTTTTTTTCCCAGCAGCCATTGTGCTATTTTGCATTTACTGCCAAAAAGGAGTGGGTGTTTTTTTTTTTTTCTTCAGTTTGTTTTTAAGTGCTTGGACTGCTCTTAGGAGGAGTAGAACCCCGGATGGAAGTAGAAAACAATGAGTTGTGCATAATACGTTCCCTTTAATAGTTCTAATAGTCGCAACTTCCTGGAGGAGCGGAGCTAACTTTTATTAAGCACAGTAGTAGTCCTTTCAGGTTACATTCAGTTTTTGTAGTTTTAGTGACGCTTGGAATGGAAGGATAATAATAAATCCTCTGGTTGTCTTTCAGTGCGTTTGCCAGGTATCCCAACGGCGTGGTGGTTCACTATTTCTGCTGCAAAGATCGCAGCGTGTGTCCCACTGAGCAGTAAAATCCTCTTCTCACACTGACGAACCGCCCCCCCCTCGTCCTCCCCACACACACACACACACACACACTCCTCATTCCCTGCTGCGGGCTTCGGCGCTCGGCCATGTTGGAATTGGAAATATGTTTGAAGGACTGCAGCGTTGGTTTATTATGCCCTTCTGCTGCCACAGAGCAGAACTGGAGCAGTGCTGAAGTTTCCCCCCTCTCGGCATGCATGAAGAAACAGGAAAACGTCCTGAGACGCTCAATGGGGACGGAGAGATGAAGAATGAAAGAGAGAGTAAGAAAGATCCATCGATCAAGACAATCCAGAAGCAGGTGCCACTGTGACCACATAAAGGATTTGCTGCCTACAGGCACAGCGCCCTGGAAGCTGGGATTGCAGAAGTAAGCGTGCTATCTCTGATTACTGCAGTTTATTATTAGTTTTTCATTGTTTTCGTTTGGCTTTCACGTTCCCTCCACTACTGTAACTCATCGTGGGCCTCAAACACGCCTCGATATGCCATACTGAGTGCTACAGTACTGTTAAATGCCTTCTGTGACTCTCAGGATTGTACAATGAAAAGAGATGTCACTCATAACGTTTTGTTGTGAATATAACAGACGATAGTGTTTTCTATTGAATAGTGTCCATTTAATATTATTCATAGGTCAATCCTCAGTTCTTACCCAACGACATCCACTGTTATGTTTAAACATTTGTGTTTTTTGTGGCTTACAGGTGCATTAATCAAAATCCAAATGTTTATTCGGTAACACTTTATTTGAAGGGGTGTGCGTAAGGCCGACAGGACACGGTTATGAACACGAAGAAGTCTTCATGAATATTTATGACTGTTGTCATAAAGAGCCATTTGGTAAATGACACTTTTAATGCAGGTTTGCATTAAAAGTGTCATTAAAAGTGTCAACTTGGCATTATTTGGTAAATAATTACATTTATATGCAGAATTGCATTGACACTTACATTAAAAGTCAATCAAAAGTGTAAACTTTGTCTAAAAAGTCTCATTATTTACCAAATGACGCTTCATGACTACAGTCATAAACGTTCATGACAGCTGTTATATCAGTCTTATGATTGACATGACATAATAAAGTGTTACCGTTTATTCCTGCTCCTGCAATATAAATAGTCGCCGTCTTTTTATCATTAATTGCTATCTGTTACAGTGAATGCGACATATTTAGGTCTGGACTGTTTCTACAAAACACACCAAAAAAAAAGACTCTTCTTCAATAACCCCAGTGGTTATAAATCGGTTTTAAAACTGTAGCAGTATTCACTCCAGACTTCTTTCGCTGTCTCAAGCGTTCAATTGGAAGCTGAACGTTTTGTGGACTCTTCTTTCAAAAGGTCGCCATCGCTCAGATCGAAAATGAACGACCCGCACTTTAAGTCTTTTTGATTCTGCTTTTGCAATACTGGGATGATACTAAACTTTAAAGAGAAATGGTGGATGTCTGCATTTTGAAGGCGACGTTGTTCTGGAAACGTGTCTGCTGACTGTTTCTTCAGTGAGCAGCGCGGGAAGCAGAACAGTTTTCTTTATTGAAAAATAAAAAGCATGCAAATGGATGTTTTTTTTTTTTGTTTGTTTTTTTTTTCCAGGGGTCTTTCACTTTAGAGGAATGTGTATGAAATATGTTTTGTTGGCATGAAAATCAATACTTTCAACTTCTGGTGATGCATTTGAATTATTTCATTTGTCGGGTAGGTATCAAGTTGCAACATACAACTTCAGTTACATTTAAAAATAGGAGCCAAGTACTTCAATTTAAATTTGTGATCTTTTTTTTTTTCAAACCACACAAATTGTAAAAGTGACTTTTCACTTTTCCTGGCATAATTCTGACAGAGTATTTGACGTTTCTTCATTTAAATTTACTGTTCTGATGGCGACAAACCTCACTTTTATTCATAGTCCGTCAACTTTCGTTCATTTTTATCCAATCCAGACCAATTATTTTATTTGCACGTTGCACCACTTTGACGGTGGAAACCAAGACTGCTCATCGTTCCGACAAGATAATGGTCTCTCGTATGAAAATGTGGACAAAACATAGAAATATTAAGCTTCTGTAATGAGTCGGACATCAACCCTATTAAAGAATGAGGCCGGTGCTGAGAAGTCGGGTCTGCGAACCGACCAACACAAATGAGCTTTTTTAATAAGTCGTGAAATATTCACAGAATTAACCTGTCGACAGCTACAACATTACTGTGACTACGTGTTTATATTTGAGCTTTTTTGCCATCATTTCGAACAAATCCAAAAAAAAAAACCACAAAAAAAAAATAGATTTCTAATTATTTCTGTGCGCTGAGGTTGTAGCCTGTTGTGCTTTTAATAAAGTCACCAAGGCAACAAACTGTTCATGTAGCGCAACTTTAGCAAATTCTGTAATAATAAATAAAATGACATATTAGGCTTAAACACAAAGAAACATTTCCTTGATTTATTGGAGGTTTTTTGATGGATTTTTGGACTCAGGCCTTTTCGCCTATTCCTTTGGTCTGCTCTCCACAAATTCAGTGGGTGCGAATCCTTTCGCAATCCCCTCCACTTTATTTGACCCTTTCTTATCGCCCCACGACGAGAGGAGAGCCATTTCTGCCTCGTCTTTTCTTCCTTCCCAGCATTTCTTCACCATCCTCGGGGCTCTTGCGTCCTACAAACTAACTCCCTTCCACTGGGGCGTGACAGCCGAGACAACAAAATCACAACAGTCCGACTGCTCGGCAAGGCAGCACAACCAAACGAAACGCCCCCGCCGCTTTCTCCGTCTGGGCCTCTCCGGAGGACCCTAATGACTCTTTCATCTGGGGAGGGAGGCACTGTGTGCTTGGCTCTTATAGCTGGAGCTAAAGCCAAGTTGCAGCATTATTGCGAGAGGGTCTTGAGAGGCTTTCAAAAAAAAAAAAGAAGAAAAAAAGCAATGTTCGCTGGACTGGGAGAAACACTGAATAATTCACCTCTCCTTCAGGTTTGTGGAGTTCTCACTGTGTTTTCTTCTTTTTTTTTTTTTTTTTTTACCGCGCTCAGATGCTGTCATGTCTTGGAAGAGTGGGCCGATGTAGAAATGGAAAAGATCTTCCAACTGGAAGCTGCCCAACCAATGGGAGTTTGCCCACAGTAAGCCTGGCAACTTCTGCTCTATGGTCTGCACCAGAATGAAACAAAAAATCCCTGGTCACGATGGAGTGATAGATCCACATAGACTGAGCCACTAAGATAGATCTAGACAGACAGATCCAGATACATGGTTCTGTACACATGGCTTGTTCTGGATAGCTAATTTTATTTTGGTCTAAATTGATAGATCTAGACAGAGAGTTGTAGATAGATCCATTGCTGTTCTGACTGCTGTTCTGTAGGCAGGCTGCCGTTACACCGGCGCTGTAGATATGTGGTTATTTAAGGCACAGCAGAAGGAAGTAATGAGGTGGAGGTGGGAATGTAGGTTGGTCAGGCTCAGAAAGTCCCATAATTCAGTTAGAAAGCTCAGAAATGCTGTGGAAGGATCTTAACCTCACCAGCCATTTTGAACTCTTTAATCTTGTAATTCTAATTCAAGCCATATTTCATCCATTATAATCCAACTCTATGTGAGTGCAAACCCTTCACCGTAATGGGCTCTGATGTGAGCTGGGCTTTAGGTTTCTGCTGCTCTCTGGTAAAACAGCAACAGGTCAGACCAGATCAGCTGTCATGAAGTGGATGGTAATAAACAGAAAGCCAGGCAGGGTAAAAACTGAAGGGCTTCGGGTCACAGATCTATTACGACCCTTAAAATGTTCATGTTTCACGCAGACTTTAGTAAGGGCCATTAAACGGTAAATGGGCTGAACCGGATAGCTCCTCTGTCGCCCCGCCATCCTCTCCAGACATGCTGCAGCAAAGCTCCCTGATGTACAGTTGTTGGCAGATGTCTGCGTCTAAATCCCTGAGGTGTAATTAGAGGAAGATTTAAAGCGTTCAATTACTTGAATACTATTTATCCTCCTGGGAAACATCTGTATGTGATCTGCCTTTTCCCATTTGTGCTGGTGACGCCATCGTCCGATTCATTCCTCATCAGATCCAGCCCACTGGTGAACTGAGCCTACAGGCCAGCAGGGGGCCGTCAAGAGTCCCCACACTAAGATAACTGTTTGTCTGTACGCTTACGAATTACGAGCCTGCGTTTCAATTTGTGAAAAGATTTCAGAACTTAAACTTTCAATTAATCGAATACATAATAAAGTAATAAAATATTGTTTACACCATGAAATTTGGTGTCCCATAACCAAGTTCGGCCGAGTTAAGTGCAAAATGTTCAAACAATCTCTCAATAAAAAAAAAAAAAAAAGCAGGATGTTGAGCCTACAACGGAGAGGTTTGGTTCAAAGCATATTTGTTAGCACGACTTGGCTATTGCTGTACAAAAATTATTTTTATGAAATCTGACTGACCGGGAGTGTTTTAGATCAAGGAAAATAAATGATGTGGCCATAGAGGAGTAAATTTCTGTCAAAACCACAGAGACCTTTAGCTTAATTTCACATCTTTACAAGAAAAAACTTGGATGTTCTCTGATGTCGAAAAGCAGCAAATTCTCAAGGACGAAAATGCTCTTCCATAATTAAAGGCATGCATTTTTTATTTTGAAACTAGGATATTTCTGATATTTTAATGTCTACAATTTGTAGGGGGTGGGGAACCCTAAAGTGATCTGGAACAAAAACGACTGCTTTCGAAGACTGTAAAGGCAAACACTTTTGGTGAGAAATTGCAGCAGTCCTCAGAAATTCAGGAGGTACGTTTAGGAGGTGGACATCTGGATATTGTCTCACAAATTTAGAAATCTTGGGCATCGGAAAACTTCCACATTTCTCTTGTAAATGTGTGAAAATGGTGTTAATGTGCTCCTCTCTGGCCACATTTGTTTTTTCCTCATCTACCACAGCTTCAACACTTCGATGTGAAACACACACATGCACATGGCACTTTTCAATTCTCGATTTGGAGAACAATTTTTAAACCCGTTTACTGCATCGTTTTCCTTCCCGGCTCACAATTATGCTCAATTTTATGCCCCTCTATTTAAAATCCCATTAAAACACAGTGATGTTTGTGGTTGTAGAAACCTGGACAAAAAAAAAAAAAAAAAAGGAATGAAAAAGGTAAGAACTGAACATTGTAAAGAAGGATAACATAATAAGAGAGATTCAAATTGTCACGCAGATGACAAAAAAGGAAATGTATTAATTCAAAATCCTGTCGTGTTTAATATTTGCCATATTCATTCCTGTGTGTGTGTGCATGCGATGTGTCCCCTCTTATCTCTGTGGTTCCTGTTGCAGCGAGGCGTGTTGTTGCTCCAGGTCGGCCCTGTTGGCTGCTCTCCAGCAGGATGCGATGGCCTTTCTGTCAGCAGTTATCTTGTGTAACAAAGCAACAGTCTGCCACACACACCTTGTGTACTTTCCGCCTGAATGGAGCTCCATGTCCTGGAGCTCCACCCATCTGCTTGGAATCACTTCAGGGAAGCAGGAGATGAAGGATAGCATCATCATCACCACGTGGGAAATCTCTGTGATAGAATGACGGGAAAAATACAAACATTTGAGCATAGCTGGGATGATGGCCAATTAATGGGTATACTATATTTTATCAGGAATTATGTGAGCAATCAATAAAAAAAGGTGGTTATGGAAAATAATGAGGTGGGACTAGATTAAAAAACATTAAACGAGTTGGTTTAATTTTTATTAAACTATATATCAACAAAACATTTTCAATTCAAAATTATGAAATAAAAAGACGTATATAAGCTCAACAAATATTCTGAATTGTTTTAAATCTGTTTAATGTGTTATAACAGATTTATATTCAGTCATCAGATTGGTGCGGAGTGCTCTTAGCGTTTCAGGAACGTTAGCACTGTTGCTACATGTTTAGCATTGAGATGCACTTTTAAACCCAGACAGGCGAACTCCTTTCAGCGTAACTTGAACACAACAGTAGCGTTTTCCAGCGTCCCAGGACACCATGTTTTGTGCCCCTCCCCCCTTTAGCGACGGACCCTAAATCCTCGGTTGCTTGTGCGTCCGATTTAGCGACGTACCAGAAACAGCCATATATATGTTCCGGACAGAACAATTCTCCTAAAATAAAAATAATAAGGTAATATTGTCAATCATATTCAGTAAATTAGAACATATCGTCTTAGCGAATAAATATAATCTTAACTGACCACCTTAAGCTGCCACCCTCGCGACCCGACCCCGGATAAGCGGAAGAAAGTGGATGGATGGATCTCAACGGACCTAAAACAGGAAACCTTTATTGATATTATTATTATTATTAGATACAAGAGTAAATGTGATCATTTTTCCCTTTCCAGCTGGGGTGCATGCATTGCTCGATAAGAACGTTCTTACTGTTTGTTGTTGTCGACTCTTGAGCATCTTGTTTTTGTTAGCAGGGTGGATGTGAGTCAAGCTCTGCCTCATTACCTTCACACTGGGCCCAGAGGCTCTGATGAATTCCTCGCAGTCAGTATCTTGCACAACAGACTCTTGCAACACGTACA